CTGACAAGAGGACGGCACCCTCCTCTGGGAAGAGCGCTGCTTGCAACCCGAGCCACCGCACGAGTGTTTCTAAGAGCACCGGTTCAGGACAAACACAGCTCTCTTCGCAGTCTAAACTTGGCCCCGTGGAGACATTTGCTAAAACGCTCCCAGGCAGCTGGGGTGCACGCAGTGAGTGGGACGGTCGGCGGCCGGCAGTGGGGGAACAGGCCCATCCCTCTGCTATACAGCGCACTGGTCAGGTGAAACCCTCAGTGCTTAGGCAACTTGAAGAGGGTAAATAAGGACAGAGGCAGTGTGCCATGTGTGAAGTTTTTACAGCAGTGATGCATTCTTTTCTAAATAGTTCCAGTCACAGCCTCTTGCTTTCCTATAGCCAAGATGAACTTAATTTCTGAATCTCCTAGCTCCCAGCAGCACCAATAAGGCACTGCAGAATTTTAACTCATTCAAGAGGTCATCATGTGCCAGGTACCATGGATATAAAGATGAATTAATCAGTAGTTTCCACCAAGGACTCGATGTCTAGTAAACATCTCTAACCATAGCATTATTATTAGGGAAAAAAAATCCCCATGTTGGTCATTATGTTTGTGTTGCTTCAATTTCTTCCCCATATCAAAGATTTGAGGTTATCAAGGCAGAACAAGGATATATATATATAAATATATAATAATATATATTATTATTATATATATATATATAATAAAGTGAATAATCTGCACAATAACAGAACTCACCAAAAAATAGTTTGAACCATGTTAATTCCTATAGGAAAAAGATAGCATCTTTCCTGAAGTTCTGATGATTTTAACTCTTTGGAATAGCTCATTTTAATCGTGCACTTTCTATGTGCCAGGCACTAATTCCAAGTACGTTATAGACACTAATTTGTTTAACCCTCACAGGGACCCCTATGACAGGCTTAATGAGAAAACTGGGACAGATGTGGAGAAGCTCAGGAACACATCTGAGAATAACGGCGGGGAAGTGTGGGGCCGGGTTGGCGTCCCAGGCACTGTGACTGCAGGGCTCCCATTGGGCACCACTGCATACTTGTAACTCTCTGGAATAGCAGGCCCGTGTAAAGTGTCAACAGGTGGCTGGGGTGCTACTCACAGCTTCTATGGTGACAGAGTACGGCGTCCTTGTAGTGAGGACAAAGCCAAGTCTTTTTGCTCCTTTCACCAAAGCTGCTTCATCTGTCAACAAAAAGTCTGCATTAGTAGGAATGGAGCAAAGGTATAACACCGAATTTAATTTAATACAGACTGCCGTTCTCCAGCACTAAAATATCATATCTTTTTAAAAACTTGGCTTTTTTGATGCAAATGCACCTATCTGTCCTTATAGGTGCTAGACATTATTCGTGAGAGAGGAATTATGGTTAATCGTGCCTCTTTCAGTTGAGCTAAGGTGATCATGCCAGGCTGTCAGTGAAACACTTTCTTAGTCTTCATTGTGATCTTGTTTGCTCTCAAAGCCACTGACAGCGTGTGCATAAAATGCTGCGGGGGCCTGGACTTCACCCCTGCCCTGCTACTGGTTAGCACCCAACACTGCTGCACCCCAGGTGCTGAGCGCCCTCCCGGTCTTTAGTAGGGCTGGGGACCCAGGAGCCCCGGAGCCGTAGGGAGGCTCAGAGCTGCTCTGCAGCGCAAACGCCCGGCCAGTAAGAACCCGAGGGCAGGAGAAGGGTGGCAGCAGCCAGCAGGGGCTCAGTGGCAGGGCCCGCCCCCTCGGAGACCTCACTGCCGACACCTACCTGGGGAGGATGCCTGGTAGACTATGTCGTGATCATCTCTCTCGGGGACAACAGTGTGGCACACGCATAGCAGGGTCAAAAATTCCTTTATGTATTGTTCTGTGGGCTGTAAAAAGGCACAGAGCTGGTGAATCTTTTTCAACTTGAGCAACGCGAGGGTTACGTACAGTAGTCTGCAATGTGCGCCAGCCGAGGTCCCAACCGCAGGCTCGCACAAAGTCAGGCACCAGCCCAAAACCACAGCGTGCGTTCACCGCCGGCCTGGGCGTGGCTGCCGGGCCTGGGACGGGTGGGAGCCAGGGAGACGCCAGGGAACAAGACGACGCTGCCCTCTTGGAGCTTTCATTCTCCCTGGGGAGAGGGGATTCCCCAAAGCTGGAGCAAACACACAGGGACAAAAACAGAGAAGAGAACGGCCTATTTTAGACAGACGCCCGGGGACTGACACTTGGGGAGACGGCACCAACAGTAAGATCCAAACAGAAAGGTTAGCTGGCAGCTTGTGGAGCTGGCAGTGGTGGCAGCACACGCTTGACAAAGGGAATTAATCGTCGCACCCTCGAAGGCCCCAGTCGGGAAAGAGTTCCGTGTGCTTGTGGGGTGTTTAGGCAAGTGTGACGTTAGCATGTTGAGCAAGGGGAACGACGACACAGAACAAGATCGAAGAGAAGACCACGGTGATGAGTCTGGATTTTATTGTAAGTATGGCGCCAGTCCTCGCAAGGTTTTTAAACAAATCTTTTATGCTTTAAAAGATTAATTTTTGAGAAGATTGAGATTTCAAATCAAGTACATCAACCTCTTAAAGCAGATCAGTGAAGACACGGGCAGCATTTGATAGAACCAAATAGTGTAAAAGCAGATAGACAGTCTTAGCTTAGCTTGCTACACAGCAACAGTTCCTGTATAATTCACTAACACTCATAAATTCAGTGCTTAGCTCATAATATTGGTACAAAATCCCTTGCTTGTTATATATGGACATCAAAAAATTTCAGGACTCTCTTTTTATGTTTAGAGAATGATACATTGCAGAAAGACACATATATGTTTTAAAGTTAGAGAGCTTTACTGTGGCAACTTGGAATAAGAATAACAGACTTACATGGCCATTGTCAATGTTATTCAGTAATAGGGAGCCATCAAATTCAGAGGATTCTGTGGCGTAAGAAGGTGTCTGTCTATAAGGAAGAATGGAAAAGATTAACAAAACGTTCATGGTGGCACCAGTCAACGGTCAAAAGCATCAAAAGTCACAGACAGTCCCATCTTCTGTTTTCAGGAAGATCACACTTAAAGAGTTTACAGAACTCTAGTCAATAAAATTCTGTCACATGATACATCCTCCTAGGACATGAGCTACAAAATGGCATTTGAAAATGTCTAAACTTGCGTTAAAAACTGCACAGTGGTAAGAAACAGAGTAACTTGAAACAGAGTAACTACAAAAGCAAACTACAGAGTAATTTGAAACAGAGTAACTACAAAAGCAATAAATTAAAGGCTAGGTTCTAGGTTCTTTGAATACTGGGGAAGATCTATCCAGCAGAGCTTCTGGAAACTGCCATTTGAAGTATAGACAAGAGAGAGCTATGGGATTGTATGTTAATACTCCAGTATTAACAAAAGTTGGTTGTAGAGAAAAGAAAAAGGGCAAAGTAGAAAAGAATGTTGTCTATAACCTGAAGTTCCTTACGTTACCAACACTTCTGTCTGAATGATTTCTAAGGAAAAATGAGGGCAGAAATGTAACCATTACAACACTCTAAATATAAAATTCCTTAGAAATTCTAATGATGTAAACTATATTTTTTTAACAACTGCAAGTTCTTATTTAGGCTATATTAAGTTTCAATCTCATTCAGATGCCGCTACAATACTAGAAATCCAGATAAGTCTTGGAGTAAATAAAAGCCAATTAATTTTAAGGAAAAAAAATGAGAATTTCCAACAGAGTATGACAACAAAAACACTTACCCATAAATTATACCTGCAATGGTACACTTCTTAAATATCATCATATTGCAAGTGAGGGTTCCTGTTTTATCAGAAAATAAGTATTTTACCTAAACAAAGAAAAAAATAAACATGATAAATCACATAAATTTAAAATGTATTTAGAGAGCAAAGACAGCAAAATGAAATTCTTTCTCTTTAAAGCCTCAAAATTTGTAGATATTTTTAGAAAACAAGCAGCTCAGGCTATAAATATTCTACATTTAATATATATGCTACTTTTGGAGGCCATACTACTCTTCTCTTTGTTTTTCACTGGAGGCAAAGTTATACAGTAACATGCAAAGTATAATTTAAACCATCAAACCTAAGGAAATCAGAAGTCCAAATTCATTTTCCTACCACAAAAATTCCATCAAAAGTATCTACAAAACATTAGGTAGTCACATGAAAATGAAAACAAACTCAAAACCGTATTAATCACACTCACAGCTATAATGCTCATGTCTAAAGACGAATGGGAATTCTGTAGATGATCATTTATGTTCAACAAATAATGCAAAACAATATGGAGTTAAGTGGTTTTAAGGTGTTAATGTTATTTGGGACGAAGAGAGAGATACTGATTAACTTTAGATTTTGTTAAAGTAACCACCTAACACACACACCCCCAAAAAATGTTCCTGACCTTGAGTGATCCTCCTGCCTCAGCAGGATAACTCAAGGTCAGGAATTTGAGACCAGCCTGAGCAAGAGTGAGCCCCAGTCTCTGCATAATATAGCAAAAAAAAATTAGCCAGCTGCGGTGGTGTGCACCTGTCATCCCAGCTACTCGGGAGGCTGAGGCAGGAGGATAGCTGGAGCCCAGGAGTTTGAGGTTGCTGTGAGCTATGACTACACCACTGCAGTCTAGCCTGGGCAACATAACAAGAAAAACTCTGTCTCAAAATAAATAAATAACATAAAATAATAATAATAAAAGGCAGAAAGTGTTATATATGGTGTACACACACACACACACACACAAAACCACATTTAATCAATGTAATTTATAATATAAAGGGAAAATCTGAAATGGAAAAAGATACAATGATAGAAATCAAGAGCTACCAGGAATAGCCATATTACTACCAAAGTAGAAGTTAAAATTCTGAGTACAAAAAATTTTCAAGAACAATATAAAGATAAAAGGCAACCTTTATGAAGAACACATGATAATTAAGAACCTATATGAACCCAACAAAACATAAGTAAATATATAAAACAAGAGACTTGATAAAAGTAAATAATACTTAGAGAATTCAGAATATTTCTTTCAGAATTTCAGATTCTTTTAGATCTCACCTCTTTGGGATCTGAATAAAGATAGGACAGAGAAAAATTGAAAAATACAATAAACTCGATTTAACAGACATAGAAAGGGAAAAAAATACATATTTTTAATTGCCCTCTAAAAATTAATTATATAATTGGCAACAAATAAATTGTGGACAAAATTTTTAAAGTAGAGTTTTTTATAAGTCACATTTGTGCATCATAATCCAGTATAACTAAGAAATAGACTATAAAAAGAGGGACCAAAAACCTTAACTATCTGGAAATAAAGAAACGCACTTTTAGTCAAAGAAAAAATCAAACTGGAAAAAATAAACCATCTAAAAAGAAATAAGGAAAGTTCTTCATAACAAAATATAGGATTCAGTCAGAGCTGTAAGTGGAGGGAAATGTGTAGAAATATTTCATTATTAAATACTAAAAGCTAAAAGTAGGAGAACTTATTGTTTAGTTTAAGAAAACCCAGGAAAAAAGTAAAAAAAAAAAAAAGTGAAGGAATTAGTAAGAATAAAAAAACTAAAATGAAATAAAATATAAATTAGTGGAAGTATAAATAAATCTAAGATTTGATTCTTTGAAAAGATCAATAACGTAGACTGTATGAAAATCCTTAAGGAAAAGGAAGAATGTGTACTAAAATATCTAAGATGGGAAATAAAAAAGGAGATACAATTATAGATACAGAACAGATTTTTTAAAATGTTACTTGCAACTCTAACAAATTATCAAATTAGTAGAAATGGTGGGTAATCTCTTGGCGAAAAAATAAATTACAGAATTAAAACTGACAAGAAGTTGCTACTGGGAAGGTGAACAAAGACGTACTATTGAAAAGGGCAAAGGCGATCTTCCCTTGTGTGCAGTATGGGGGACTAACAACGTGAACCCCCCTTTCGATGCAAATAAGCACAAGGCAGGAAAAAAGAAAAGTTCGTGTTTTTAAAATACATCACAAAGTTGTCCCAGAAGTAAGCAATCCTCAGAGGTCAAATTCAGAGTAAATCTTGGATAGTGGGTGAGTATAAAAGCAGGCTCCACGAGTTCCCTGGATTCCTAATGTTTCCGCCTTAGCGGCTGCACGGGATTCAGGGGCTACAGGCATATGGCTGTCCCGGGTGGGACAGAAGACCCCTCCATAAATCTGGCTGGGGGACACCCCTCTCAAAACAAGCCCGAAAAAGAAGTAAACCGCTCTGCAGAGTGGGATAGCAAATGAATTTTCCCAGTTAAACCTTGAGGCTGGATGGAAGAAAAATATACCTCTCTAGAGACCGTCTATACAAGCTCGCGTCTCCGGGCGCTTGTGGCCAGATTCGCACAGCCTGTGCATCCAAACCACCTCAAGCAGAGGACTTCAATAACGTGGCCTCGAGTGATTGGCAGGAGTCGATGCAAATCCTTTCTGTAGAAATGAAACCTCAACCCAAGCCTCAAAGAACTCCTACCCAAAAAAGTTCCAAGGATCATGGGGTCATAATCAAAACTGGGCACCCCACGTGAAAACCAGCAGAAAAAAGGGAAAAAGAATCAGATCCACAAATGACTGGGATAGACTCAGGACGTGAAATAACTACGTGTTGTATGGGCTCTTTTTTAAAAAAAAACGAGTAGTTTTAAAACACAAGCAAGGAACAGGAAAATAAAAAATCGAGCATACATTTAAAAACTAAATAAAACTTCTACAAAGTTAAAATTACAATGTGTTTTTATAATATATTATAAAAATTATTATATACAAAATTATTTTTATATTATAAAAATAATTCAACAGTGGACCAGAATCTACTGATGAGCCAATATCCAAACATAGATCAGAGTTTTCTAAAGTTACTGAAAGTCACTGATCCTCACATTCTGAGAGCCCAGTGAATCCGAGACAAGATAAATAAAAAGCCACACGGCAGTGACCCACATCAGTCTAAAGAGAAAACTTTCTGCGGCAGGAAGAAAAGGCCAATGACGTGCCCAGGTGCCAACACTAGACTGACGGATGACTTCCCAATATCGTCAAAGGTATGGGACAATCAAGTACTTTCGAGGTTCTGAGAAAAAGTAATAATATTTCAAGTCGGGGGGTGAATGAAGACATTTGAAGACATGCAAGACACGAGAGAGTGGATGGCCACCGATCCTTCTCTAAAGGAAACGCTACAAACGTCCTTCGGGCGATAGATATGCAACCTCAAATGAAAGCTCTGAGTCATGAGGATTAAAGATGAGCAAAGACATTGGCAGGTATGTGGATAAATCTAAATAACCATTGCTACATGAAATAATGATGATGATAGTTTTATCTGCAGTGTTAAAAGATTTTAAAACCAAAAGACAGAACGAAAGTAGCGTGCATCTAGAGAATGGTAAGCAGCGTTGAAGCATTTTTATTACTATGGTAAAATATACATAATTCACCATTTCAACCATTTTTATGTGCCATTAAGTACATTCACAGTGTTGTGTAGTCATCACCACCATCCAGCTTCAGAACTTTTTCACCAGCCCAAGGTGAAGCCACATGTCTATTAGACAATAATCCCCCATCCGCCCCTTTTCCCAGTCCTGGAAACCACTATTCTACTGTCTCTATGAATTTGACAATTCCGGGTACCTCATATAAGTGGAATCATACAATATTTGTCCTTTTGTGTCTAGCTTATTTCACTCAGCATACTGTCTTCAAGGCCCATCCATGTTGTAGCATGTGTCAGAATTTCATTCCTTTTTAGAGCAGAATAATATGCCATTGTAGGGATGAACCACACTTTGTCTATCCATTCATCCACTGATGGTCATTTGAGTTGTTTTCATCTTTTTGCTATTGTGAACAATGATTTTATGAACATTGGTATACATTATCTTTCTGAGACCTTGATTTTATTTTTTGTGTGTATTTACTCAAAAGAGGAATTGCTGGATCATATGGTAAGTCTGCTTAATTTTTTGAGGGGCCACCGTACTATTTTCCATATAGTTGCACCATTTTACTTTCTCATCAACAGTGCACAAGGGTTGCAATAAATAATGACATTTATTGTTTTCTATTGTTTATTTTTTTGCTTTTTTTAAATAGTCATCCTAATTGGGTGTGAAGTGATATTTTATTGTGGTTTTGATTTGCATTTCTCTAATAATTAATATCTCCCAGTCCCTCATCAGCAAGATTCCAAGGGAGGTTCTGCCTTTCAGAGGAATTCTCCATAAAAAAAAAAAAAAATAGCAGTTTTATTATTGCTCTTCTGGCAGTTACAAGCAGATGTGTGGCAGGTGTCAAACTTTGTAGCAGCCCTTGGGAGGCTGCATCTGGGTCATCTGCCCCCTGGAGGCAGGGCCGGGGGTTGCTGGCTCTAAGAGCTAACCTCAGACCTGAGGGCTGACCACAGCCTCCCCTGCCTTCCCCTCCAGCTCTTCCACTTCCTCATCAACACATACAAACCTGCATTAGGTCTGTTTTGCTTGAACACAATGCAGTGGTGTAAATTACCATGATGCTGTATTATTTCCCATGATGCAATACCATCAGTGTTCTGAGCAAAGTATGCTTTTAAAATCCCACCTGGCTCCATGTGTCAATTTAAACTATACTCCATGGCTGACTTTGGCATTTTAATTTGCACAAGCTCTTCCTAGAGCCGCCTTCTTTTAAGCTCCTATCACATTGTTCGGTCCCTGAAGGGGCCCTCACCTGCCCAAGTTCTTCGTTGAGATTAGATGTTCTGGCCATGGCGTAGACATCATTCACTTTATAATGCATATCTTCATCCTGCAGGAAATAGAAAACATAGCCCCAACCACAGTCAGAACTCCGCTCAAAATTGCTTCAGGACCGTTACACATTGCCTTTCTATGTGACTAACATTCAGAAAGAAAGAATTCACGACAGAGAGTGTAGAATACTTGGATTAAAGCAGTGCATCTTAGTTTTGCACATACATTAGGAGAATTGGTTCGGGAGAGGCAGTGCCGCGTGAAAACAAACTTTGATGTGTTGCTGATCTAGAATGGAAAGGCTTGGCTTTCAAATCTCAGAGGAGGTGTGGACCCTGAGTAACTTAACCGACATTTCCGTGCTTCAGCCACTACAGCTATAAAATGGGAGTAACAACACAGATCTCGTAGGAGTCTTGTGAAAATAAATGGGAATACGTTTGAAAGCACTTGCTTCACTCTGTGGCTGTTAAAGTGATATTCCCCTTCGAATGATGGCAATCCAATGGCATACCGAGAGGGTATTTTTAATATGTGATATTTAGCAATAATTTTATTTAGAAGAAAAACAGTTAAAAATATAACCAAAAATTGCAATCCCACGGATTCAAACTAGAAAATTTGTCCAGTCCCGACTGAGCAATTAGTCAATGACAGTCAATACATAGTTGTTACCTAAGAAACCTTTTCCTTAATTTGAAGCGATCTTTGGAATGTGTACATTTCTGCCATTCTTGCCGAGATCTGTAAAGTCTACTGGACTCTCCTCCTCTCTTCCTTTATCAAGTGTCTTGAATTTCAATGGACTAACTATGTCTCTACACTTAGTACTAAGCAACTATCCCTTAAATCTTTCTTATCAGCTAAAAAAAATATGAAAAACAAAACAAAACAAAAAAATAAACAATGGTGTCCTGAAGGTGAACATCAAGAAGCCCCCGCGCTGTGATCGGGCTGGGGCAAGGCGGAGCTTGCCTGTCCAGAGCACAGCCGGCCCCCCAGCTCGCCAGCCGCGTCCTGGGGGCTCAGTGACATTGATTCTTTACAAAAGAAAACCAAAAGCCATAGCTCAAGAGTGAATTTTTGCAAAACATTCTGATTTTAATACTCACCCAGTTTATAAACTGGGCCTGAGTGTATTTCACAAATTCCAGGGTGACCAGCAGACTGATGGGGATGAGGTTGTGGTACAAGATGATGAACACCAGCACATCAAACACGAGGCTGTTGGAGGTGGGATCTGTGGAAGAAAATCAGAGGAGCCACATCACGGCTTCAGACGTTGGCGCTGTGCATCTTTGTTTGCACTGTTACATTATGAAATTTGTGAATTTTCTCCATGAGACTTGTTGTTAAAAGTGGAAACAGTCTGGCTGCAGTGGCTCATGCCTGTAATCCCAGCACTTTGAGAGGCTGAGGAGGCAGGATCACTTGAGGCCAGGAGTTCAAGACCAGCCTGGGCAACACAGCAAGACCCCACCTCTACAAAAAATAAAAAAGTTAGATAGTCCTAGCTAACTCAGTAGCATCTCTTGAGCGCAAGAGTTTGAGGCTGCTGTGAGCTAAGATCATGCCACTGCACTCCAGCCTCATCAATAGAGTAAGACTATCTCTAAAAATGAAAATAAATAAATGTGTTAAAAGTGGGTACAAATGTGAAATATTTTAAGTATGCATTAAGCACCAAATATGTAATAAGGAGTATAGGAAGCTTTCAGATTAAAGATTTAAAAAAAAAATTTTTTTTTTACAGATGGGATCTGTAGCCCAGGCTGGGAAGTAATGGTGTGATCATAACTCACCGTAGCCTTAAACTTCTGGACTCAAGCAATCCTCCAGCCTCAGCCTCCCAAAGAATAGGATTATAGGAATGAGCTGCCATACCCAGCCAAACCCTTGATTTTTGATCCTATCTACAAAGTCTACATTTTGGTTTCTTTATTCCTAAAATGCTCCCAAACTGGTCCACTCAAGGAAGTTTAAAATAGTTTAAAATTCTAGAGATAAATTAGAAAAGGCAGAAAGATGATAATGGTTTACTCTACGACATAGAAAGACTCAAACAAAAAAATGCTGAACTTTTAATGCCAGATACCAGTTCACCTTTAAATTTTTTACTGACAGAAGGCCAACTTAACCACTGAGCACCTGTCCCCATGACCATTTCCCCCGTTTTCCTGGCCCCATTCATTGGGCACAAAGCAGTGCACCAACCCAGCAAGGTAAGCATTATCCCCATTTCCAAATGAGGGAGGTAAGGCTCAGAGAAGTAAAGAAACTTGCACAAGTTCTCATATTTACCAAGTGGCAGAGCCAAAGGCTTGGCCCTTTGTGTATCTGACTTACAATTTCATGCCTCTGCCCTAACTCCCATCTCTCTCCTTTATTGTGGAATGCCATAATTATGTGTGATTGTCAGAATAATCTTTTAAAAAATCTTAAACCATACAACTGATAAAAAGCTAATATCCAAAATACATAAGGAACTCAAACAACCTGATGAAAAGGAAACAAATAACTTTATTAAAAACTGGGCAGAGGACTTGAATATGAACAACAGATATATGTAAAATGCTCAGTATTACTAGTCATCAGGGAAATGCAACTTGAAACGAAAATGAGATAGCACCTCACACCTGTCAGAATGGTGATTCCCAAAAAGATAAAAGATAACAAGTGTTGGTGAGGACTTGGAGAAAGAGAACCTTTACACACTGTTGATGGGAATGTAAATTAGCACAGCCATTTTGGAAAACAGCATGGGGGTTCCTCAAAAAATTTAAAAATATACAAATACCAAATGATCCAGCAATCCTACTTCTGGGTATATATCTAAATGAAATTAAATTGGCATGTTGGAGATGTCTGCACGCCCATGTGCCATGCAGCTTTATTCACCATAGTCGAGATATATAATAGAAGCAACCTAAGTATCCACCAATGGAGGAATGGATAAAGAAAATGTAATATATATGCGATGGAATACTATTCAACCTTAAAAAAACCAGAAGGAAAATTTTGTCATTAGCAAAAACATGGATGAACCTGGAAGACGTTATGCTATGTGAAATAAGTCAGTCATAGGGACAAATACTGCATGATCTCACTCGTGTGTAGAATTTTATAAAGTCAAGCTCATAGAAGTAGAGACTGGAATGGTGGTTATCAGGGGCTGGGTGGGGCAGGGGTCAAATCTGGAGATGTTGGTCAAAGGATACAAAGTTTCAGTTAGTCAGAAAGAATAAGTTCTGGAGAAATAATGTATATATGAAAACTGCTACGGTGTAGATTTTAAATGTTCTCCCATCAAAAAAAAAATGATACGTATGTGAGGTAACGTATATATTAATTAGCTTGCTTAAATATTCTACAATGTATGTATAAATCAAAACATTACACTGTACCCCATAAATATAAACAACTGTTATTGGTCAATTAAAAAACTTTTAAGGGCCGGGCGCTGTGGCTCACGCCTGTAATCCTAGCTCTTGGGAGGCCGAGGCGGGCGGATTGCTCAAGGTCAGGAGTTCAAAACCAGCCTGAGCAAGAGCGAGACCCCGTCTCTACTATAAATAGAAAGAAATTAATTGGCCAACTGATATATATATAAAAAAATTAGCCGGGCATGGTGGCGCATGCCTGTAGTCCCAGCTACCCGGGAGGCTGAGGCAGAAGGATCACTCGAGCCCAGGAGTTTGAGGTTGCTGCGAGCTAGGACGCCACGGCACTCACTCTAGCCTGGGCAACAAAGCGAGACTCTGTCTCAAAAAAAAAAAAAAACTTTTAAAATCTTAAGAAGGGAATATTCTGTTTCTGATAGTCATGACAATCAGTTTCTCAAAAAAAAAAAAAAATACACCAGTTAAAAGAAGTGCCTTTCCTTTTAAATAAAAGCATGAGGAAAGTCTTTGAAGTCATTTTTAAAAGCATAACAACTTTAAAACATCACAGCTTCTCACTGCCCGCTGATACTTACCCTGCCACATGTACCAAGTGTCTGCACCATACAACTTGTTCCAGACTATGGCTCCCACACAGCTCACCACGGCCATGACCACGAGCAGCAGGAACAAGATGAGGATCTGCACGTTCATCACTTTCTCAACGCTTGATTTCTTAAGAGGAGATTTGACAGAATTCTGCACAACAGCATGCACACACAAACACACCCCAAAGGAACCCAAAAAACAAAGCAAAACAAAACAAAACAAAAACAATTATAGTGTACAAACATTTTGATTGCAAGAGGAGGGAAAATTCTAACAGTAGAAAGTAGAATACATTTTGTTTGCTGTTTAATTAACAGAATAAAAATGCACCACATTGTTGAATGAGCATGGCTTTTCTACTTGAGTCCTAAAGAGTGTTTTACTACTTCATAGAAAACATATTCATCTAGAAGATCCATCACCTCGAAGTCCTGGGGTTTTTACAAACACCAAGTGTGGTAAATCTCACAGTCTAGGTGACCTTTTGTACAGGCAGAAAAGAAAAAAGAAGACCTCACTAATTTATTGGCTTTACCATGTCTAGTTATCGAATTATTTCTAGTTTAAAAACCATGAAAAGATATCTTTCACATGAGTTTGTTGGGAACATATTCAAGGTTTTATCAGTACAATGATAGTCCTAAAATGTGCACATTGTAGGGAAACCTAACCTCAGAAGAATCTTTTGAAATGTTTCACCTACTTGCAGTGAGAGCTTTAAATGTCCATTTTCTATTAAGACTTTAGGTTTTCCTATAAATCTCTGTATATTGTCTGCAGAGGTCTATGGAGACATAGGCCAAAAAATTCTTAACTTTTCCATCATATTAAATCAGATTAAATTCACCATTTCCACGTTTTAATGAAAACGCGTAGAAGGATAAATGCTCAAAGCTTACAAATTATGAAAATATGAGTTAATAATGCAAATAACTCTTAGAAAGCACACAAATACATAAGGTTATAAAAAGTCCTAGGCTTAAGTGCACTAAGCATTTTATAAGGGCGTGTCATTGTGCTTTCATTTACATATATACATACAAACACACACATATAATATTGCATATATATGCAAAGCAAACATGTTATTTCCTCTCTCTGATTAAGTCGCATAAGTAGGAGTTTCAAATGTTGTACAACAGGGAATAGTTTTCAGCTGAGTGTGCTGTCTTTTAAATCTTTGGTAAGGAAGTGTTTATATTCACTAGTTGTTTCTTTCCTAAAGCCATGCAAAATCCCCTTCGGAGATGTGCACTACTCCGAAATGACATGGTCAACACGGGTGATACTCCCTGCAATGACTGAGCTCCCCAAAGTGAGGTCACTGAGCAGGTGCTCTTTGTCGTGAGTGGCAGCACAGACCAACCATGCTGGGACAAGAGTAACGAAACGTTGGTCATTAATTTACAGCAGACATTTAAATCTTCGATGAAACCTGGTACCACCCTGTATACAATTAAGTAAGATAGCATTGTCTTTTGGAGACGATGGGAAACAAGAATGGGTGGTGTCGGAGAGTCGTGCATGTTACAGCTGAATCCCAGGGCGTGGTACTGTGGATTGCAGTGAGCCACATGCAACAGTTGATTCTTAACCTTGGTCCCCTGTCCAAATATGAACTATTTTTTTTGGTAACCAAACTTGCATTTTATATCACTATCTTAGCCTGAGTTCCTTCATAAGCAGAATCTGAAGTAAAATTTACACATTAAGGCATTACTGCAGGGCGCAATTCCAGCACAGAAAGAGTGAGAGGGGAAAGAAAAGTAGCATGTGTCACCACGGATAATCTTACCTGCATGAATTTGGTTTCAAACCCAGTGTAGACAACTATGCCAATGATCCACTGAGTATTTATAAGCTGTGTGCTCCTTAGCAAGAACTGGTCAGGCCCAATTGGAAAAGGGCTAAAAGTAAAAAAGAGCATTTATAAAGGACCAAACAAGTTTTCTCTTTTCACAATGTAAACAAAGCATAGATTTCACCTTACGCATATTTTCTTTTTGTCAAGTTAAACCTCCTGGGCAAATGACAAGAAACAAATATGTCTTCATAGAGAAAGCACCTATTCCTAAAAGAGCATGGAAAAAATTTTTCCTTTGGTATCCGCTTCTCACTGTTTCCAAAACAAATGTTGACTAAAACTTTTAGAGAGAAAAATCATCTTTTATTCATAGGGTTAACTGTAAAATTTGTCACAGAGAAACGTGTCTAGATAAATAGACAGCTGTGTGCCAGCTCAGTAATTTAGTACAGACAGCATTACACGCGGTAATTCAGAGCGCAGAGGGTGTCCACTCGGCGCAATCTCCACAGGCTCCTCCCCTCCGACAGCGGGTCGACTGGCTGCATAAAAGATGTTCCTATGACAGTTTTAAGCGGAAAGTATCCCAAAGTGGACCCTAAGCAAGGGAAAACTCCTCCATCATTATCAAACCAAATCCCCAGTGACTTGTCTTTGGTTACTTTCAAAACCTTGTTCTTCCCACTGACTTGCCCCGAGGGGTGTGCTGAGTGCTTACACTCAACGCGAACTTGGACTTGACTTCCCTAGCCCTAGCATCTGTAGGTATAACTATTAAGAAGATGCCATGCATGCACTTTCCATCTGTATTTAAGAATTAATTTTTTAACAATTATTCATAAATAGATGCTTTGAGGTATTTCAAAGACAAGGAAAATAGGAACAAGTACAATGTTTTAAAATACTACTGGTTGACAAAATAAAAACCGTCACATTCTACGTTCCATAAAAAAATATATATATATATTTAAGAAGAAAAAGATGATACCTTTTATCCCTTAGCCACCAAGTTCCAGAAAAGCTATCAAGATGACGATTAGGTCCTTCACATTCTAGTCTTCCAGCGAGGTCTAACAACTGCTTTTCCGTTTTCATTTCAGCTGTTTCTGACAAAGCCTATAAAATAAAACCAAACGGGCGAAATGAAAATAAAAGTTGTGTGTACTGTGGTAGAGTTCCATGTCTCCAGTAGTAAATATTAATAGAAGAGGATAATAAAAGTCAGTATTTAAGAATGTGCCACGCTTACTGGATAATAAATTAACACATATCAAACTGTAATACAAACTTTGCTAGAAGAGTTTGCCATTACAGCACTTTGCAAATAATTTCAATAAAATCAAAAGAACCAGAAAAATTAAGTTTTCATCACTTCTGAAAATACCAGTTTTGAAAGTGTAATCGCCGTAACCGAATATCACACAATGTCTGGTACATTTGTGTATGCAGCTAACAGTGTTGCACAATGGATCACACTTGGAGTAGCAAGGATCTAGAACAGTGGTTACGAACATTTGCAGGCATCAGATTCACCTAGAGGTCTCGCTAAAATACTGATTGCTGGGATCTGCACCCAGCGATTTTTATTTGGTGGACTTGGGGTGGGGGTGGGGGGCCAGAATTTGCATGGCTAACAGTTGCCAGAGGATGATAATGTTGCTGGTCTAGAGATCAGGCTTTGAGATGCTAGAGAATCCTCATTCCAGTAAAATGATGTCAACTTTCCAGAGAGAGAGAGACAGAGAGAGAGAGAGAAGAGGCAGATCATCTTCAGGAGAACAATGATCAAATTGTCCTAAGTCCTTTTAACAGAAATACAAGATGCAGGAAAACAGTGGATTTTTATGTTTAAGTATTGAAATAAAAGACCTCAATCTAGAATGTTATCTTTTCAAATGTCAAATAAATATAAAAAGTTTAACACAAATATTCTCCTTGATTTGACACTCTGCTCGACTGTTATTAGTATACACAAATGCTACAAAGTTGTATACATTGATTTTATAACCTGAGATTTTGCTGAATTTATCAGATCCAGGAATCTTTTGGTAAAATCCTTAGGATTTTCTAGATACGAGATCATATCATCAGCAAATAGGGATAGTTTGACCTCCTTTTTCCCAATTCGGATGCCTTTTATTTTCTTCTCTTGCATGATTACTCTGGCTAGGACTTCCAGTAATTTGTCTAATAAAAGTGGTGACAGTAGGCACCCTCATCTTGTTCCAGTTCTTAGGGGGATAATTTCAACTTTTCCCCACTCAATATGATGTTGGCTGTGGGTTTGTCATATACAGCTTTTATAATTTTGAAGTATATTCCTTCTGTGCCTAGTTTGTTGAGGGTTTTTCTTGTGAAAGGATGCTGGATTTTATCAAATGCTTTTTCTGCACCTATTGAGATGATTATACAGTCTTTGTTTCTGTTTATGTGGTGAATCACATTTATTGATCTGCATGTTTTAAATCACATCTTGCAAAACTTGACATTGCAGGCTCACATGTGAAATTAGGATTAAAAAAATACATCTTTACCTGTCGTATCTTTAGATTTGTCTCTCCATCCAGATTAGCTGTTGCTATATAACACATAGACTGAGGTTCACTAAGTAAAATAAATGATACTGAATTAATATATCTTCATCAAAGTATTTTCCTAATAATGGTAAGTATATGTGACCTATATCAATATACATTCTTCAAAATTGAAAGGACTACAGATAACTACTTTGCCAGGAGATAGTAACATAGTGATCTTACCAGCCTAAACTTCACCTTGCAAAACAGCTCAGTAGAAAAGCTTCCATCCTTACATCATGTGTGATTACTCTTTTCAGCCCCAAGAGAAAAATTGCTAAAGATGAATGGATGTTATATAGTTCAGAGCTATCATATCTGAGGTCAAATCTAACATTTTGTTATTTTCTAAAATATGTCCATTATAATTCCCAAAGGCTCTATGGCCTTTAGAATGAGGGTACATTTCCCAGGACAAATGTGGACAGAGCAGAGGCCTTATGACAAAAACTACACTTGGGGTTTCCCTACTTTTATCTAACCTCAACAGTTAGGATATCAAGGCACTGAATTAACAAATATTCACCTTGCCAGATTTTACTCCGTGTTAAATGCCAAATCATTTATGAAAATAAATCTCATTTTGGAGGGAAAGCCACAATGAATAATAAAAAAATGTCCATTAAAGTTTATTGAGTCTTAGACTCTAACTTATCTTTTTTGGTTGTATCTCATTCAGTGAAATATCAGGTGTAAAGTAATCTGTATTAATTTAACTAACCAAGACCATATATGTACAAATAATAACTAATATATAATCTAACATTTAAAATGTAGCTTTATTGGGGATACCAGTGAAAGAATCTCCAAGAACCTTTTCTTATATAAAAACAGTGAGAAAATTGTCAAAATTTTTCAGAAAATTAACCAAAAGCTTAAAACAACACAGGGAAATCTTATTTGAGAAAAATGGCTGAACCGTGGTAAAAACAATGGGCTTTGTGATGTTTTAACTTGGGCTAGTTCCATTCCCTACTTTCTAACTTAGTGGTAACTTTGAAAAATAAAAACCCACATTCCTGGTACTGAGGGAGCTAAACAGAGCTAAAGCTCCTTCAAAGCCTCATTCCCCAAAAGCCATTATTTGATCTGTTTGACAGTTCTCTAGAAGACTCCCCCTTAAAACATTTTTTATTATTCAACCTCACAGGAGCTCACCCAGTGCTAAAATCCTCTTCCTGGTGCAAGGGGATGGGATATGTTGAAAACATTTACAGGAAAGTGTTTTAATACTGCAGCTGCCTGAGGTGATGGATAACAACCAGGGTAAATGAAAGGCTAACCACAAAGCATAAGAGGAAAACCTGAAATGAGCAGCAATAAAAACAAACCTTGGCAAGCAGAGAGAATCTGACTTCTAGAGTTGCCACATTATATTACCTAAAATGTTCACTTTTCAACAAAAAGTCATTAGACATAAAAAGATGAAAAAGTAAGTATGGCCCACTGACAGGGGGGAAAACAGCAATCAATTAAGACTGTCCATGATGAAGTCCAGACATGGGACTTATTAGACAAAACTTTAAATCAGACATTCTAAATATGTTCAAAGAGCTAAAAGGAACTATGTTGAAAGAAATAACATGTAAGAACATGTCTCACCAAATAGAGAATATCAATAAAGAGACAGAGTTTAGTGAAAAACAAACAAACAAAAAAAGAAGGAAACCAAATAGAAATTCTGAGGTTGAAAAGATAAGTAACTGAAATGAAAAATTCACTAGAGAAGCTGAAGAGATTTTAGCAGGCAGGAGAAAGACTTAGCGGACTTGACAACAGATCAATTTAAATAATCCAGTCTGAAAAACAGAAATCAAAAAAAATTAAGCAAATAAACAGTGTCTCAGAGACCTATGGGGCACAGTCAGCATACCATCATATACATCATGAGAGTCCCAGAGAACAGGAAAGAGGGAAATGAGGAAGAAAGAGTATTAAAAGAAATAATGGCCAAAAACTCCCCAAATTTGATGAAAAGCATTAATCTATACATCCAAGAGGCTTAATTACAGAGGACTCAAAGACATACACATGCAGACAAATCATAATCAAACTTTTGAAAGCCAAAGCCAAAAATATCTTGAATATAGCATGAAAGATGCTACTCGTCACATCTAAGAGATGCTAGGGGAGATTAACAGCTAACTTCTCACCAGAAGCCTGGGAATATAGAAGGCACTGGGATAACATATTCAAAGCACTAAGAGAAAAAACTGTCAACCAAAAATTCCATATCCAGTAAAACCGCCATTCAAAAATGGATTAGTAATTAAGACATAAATAAATAACAAATAAACAAAAACTGAAAGAGATTGTCATTAATAGATTTGCCTTACAATAAATATTAGAAGAGAATCCTTCAGGCTGAAATGAAAGGTCACTAAACTGTTCCTGAATACACATGAAGAAAATTAGGGTACCTGTGAAGGTAGCCAGATAGGTAAAGATAAAGGACAGCACATATGCATTTTTATATGTAACTCCTTGTTTTCTCTCTCTGATTTAAAAGTCAAATGCATAAAGCAACAATTATAGATCTGCATTGATAGGCACATGATGAATAAAAATATAGTTTGTGATGATAATAATAGCAAAAAGAGGGACAAGGAGAATAAAACTATTTTGTGACAAATTTTTATATACTATCGAACCAAACTGATACTAACACAAATAAGATTGTTATAAATTAAGAGGCTAATGATAAGGTAATTGCTAAGAACATAACTAAAAAAATTTTAGTAAAAAAAAACAAGGAATTAAAACGATACCATAATATATCTGTTTAGGACAAAATGAGGGATAACAGAGAAACTGAGGAATAAAAGGGACACAAGATATATATTTTTAAAATGGCACATGTAAATTCTATCTTATCAGTAATTACATTAAATATAAATGAACTATATCCCCCAATTAAAAGGTAGATAGTGACAAAATGAATTTTTTAAAAATACAATTTAATATATACTGTCTACAAAAAACTCACTTCTGGTTCAAATACAAATAGGTTGAAAGTAATAGGATGGAAAAAGATATACCATGCAAATAATAACCAAGAGAGCTGTTGTGGCTATACTAATATTGGACAAAATAGACCTTAACACGAATTTGGTACTGGAGAGGAAGAATATTTTAAAAGGACAAAAGAGCCAATCCATCAAGAAGATATAATAGCTAGAAACATATACATACAAGAGAGGGCAAAATACATGATGTAAAATCCCACAGAACTAAAGGGATACACAATTCAGCAATAATAGTTGGGGACTTCAATACTGTGCTTCCAATAACAGATAGAATGACTAGGCAGAAGATCAGCATGGAAATAGAAGACTTGAAGATCAGCATGGAAATAGAAGACTTGAACAACACTGTACACAAACTAGACCTAACAGAAACCTGTAGAACATTCCACCACACAAGCACAGAACACACACTCTTCTCAAGCTCACATGGAACATTCTCAGGATTGACCATATGCCAGGCCATACAGTGAGCCTCAATAGATTCAAAGGATTGAAATCATACAAAGTGTATTCTATGGTCACAATGGGAATAAGTTAACCAATAGTCTAATGGAAAATTGAACGGAAATCAAAACAGGTGAAAAAGAAATCAAAATAAATATTAGAAAAATCTTTGAGGTGATGAAAGCAAAACACAACATAACAAAACATATGGGATGCAGCCAACAGTGTTTAGAACCAAATGCACATCTGTAAACACCTACATTAAATAAAAGGAAAAAAGAAAAAGAAAGATCTGAAATCAATTATCTAACCTTCCACCTTAAGAAACTAGAAAAAGAAATTATTCTGGATTCATTTGTAAATGAAATCTTCAAGCATGCAGAGTACAAGAGGGGATATAGGTATATGTGTCATATGTATTTGCCTATATAAGCAAACATCTCTGGAAATGTGGAATATACAGGAACATAACTGCATCGATTTTCTGACAGCAGTGAAACAGAGGAGAGAAGGAAATGCCACTGGATGTCCTTTCATATCTTTTAAATTCCGAAATACTTGTGTGAATTAGCCAAAAACATTAAAATCTTTAAAGGCCTGTGATATTCCTTTACCAAATTAGAAATACTGTATTTATTTAATATACTCAGAATCACAATCGCTTTACGATTATTTTATCCAAGACTAGAGTAGCCAAGAACCATGCACTAGTATTTCTACTTGCAAAGCATATTCTCATTCTTCTTTTTCATCATTCTTTTTACAACTGCCATATAAAAAGATAATGCAAGATTTTTCTTTTTTTCTAAGAGATGAAAGAACCAAGAACACAAATAGAAAATATCTGTTCCAAGTGGTAAAGCTTGTTCATATACCCAGATTTTTCCCTTAGACCAATGGTCCCAAGTTTTTATAATATTGACTCTAAATTTGATCATGATATATGAAACTCTGAAGCCAATGAAGATGGTACCTACTTTGAAAATATTTCTAGTGATAGAAGACCACAATTTTCCCCAAAAAAGCCAATTCTCAGTAAAATATATATCTTATAATTTGAAAAGAAAACTAAAAAATAATTTTGAAGAAATATATTATACCCACAAGAGTTTATAGAATGAATTTATTTTTAAGAATATAAAATGAATATTGATTTTATATATTTACAGGTAAGAAATCTATTTATGGTACTTAAAAGGCCTTTCAATCTCATGTTTCTTTCTCTCTCTCCAAAATAACAACTATGTTAATATTTTTGATATTCATTCCTTTGATTTTCTCTGTTCTTTCATTACAACATTTGGACGTGTCACTAAACAACATATTAATTAGTTTCTTGGCCCACAGGCCAAATATAGCCCCTGTCTGCTTTATATAAATAAAGTTTTATTGGAACGCAGGCATACTCATTTACTTATTGCCTGCACTGCTTCTGTCATTACAGAGGCTGAGCTGAACAGCTGCAAGAGAAACCCTGTGGCCCACAAGCTGAACAGAGTTACTCCTGTCCCTGTATGGAAAGGTTGCAGCCACGGGTCTATGATAAGGTGAAAAGTATGGGGGAGAGAAAAGTGCCTTCTGCCTTTTTTTGGTTTACTTAAAATTCCCAATTCAGAATAAAAGTTCCTTATACGCCCACAAACATAACTAACCTGGAAGAAATCAGGACTAAGTCTGCAGGAAGGAACTCCCTGTTGCAGGCCTTCACAATATCGCCCACATTTACCTTTTAAACCAGGAGAGAGAAGATGGAAGCATGAATTTTAAAAGCACAAACAGAGGCAAAATGTGTCATTTTGGAAAAAAACAACAGTAATAATGTCTTGCTGAGGAGACAAAGAACAAGGAGACTGGATTTTTCATGTAGTTAAACAGATCATTCCTATCTTAATCATTAATAACTGAGCCACAGATTAACTAAATACTCAGATCAACATGAGAACCTTAAAATCTGCAATGTGCCTTTAAAAATGTAGAGGACAAGTTCAACATTAGAAGGGGAAAAAAGATTGACAATAAAACACACACACCTTATATATGGTTCTCAATGCGATGGCTAATAAAGCATTTATAACTTACACAAACAACTAACTTGTAGAAAGATCCAAAAAAGGCTATAATAAGACAAGCTGAAACCGTGCAATTAAAACAATATTGATGTAGAAGAGTAGGTACCCGAGGACCTGAAAGGAGACCTGTTAAAGGGCAGTAGTTACCACCACAGCTATTAAAAACTCTTTTTCGTCTCTGCCCACAGCATCCCAAAATTAATTCCGTTTTTCTTTTTTATGCTCCTCATGTTCAAACTGCTCGATTTGATTGTACCATGCACATGGGACAGGAAGGACTCAGCAGGACAAGAATCCCCTGGCTTTGGCTGCTGAACTTGTTCTGCCAGTGCAAGGCATTGGTGATAAAAAGCACTCAAGTGTACGGCCACTTCCTGCTCAGCAGGAAGCTCACCGCCTGCAGCGTCAATTCTTTGCCTCTCCCTGCCTCCAGACACAGATCTGGCTCCCCGAGACTCTGCCACTGGAAATGGGGGGCTACCTCCCAATGGCTTGTTACTCTGAGTCTCAGCGAGAGGAGCAGAGCACATTCATTATCGAGTCAATTGCTTTTGCCTAACTCAGGGAAAGAAATATTGACAACACTTAGAAATCAAAACATTCTTAGAGTTAGCTCTCCAAGAATTTGACATATGTCATCAATTATTTATTGATAAGGACGAAGTCTGCATCTGGGCCCAGACAGTCAGTGTGGCTCTAGGTTATATCCTGCTGTAATCTGAATGTGTCCCCTCACAGTTTGTGTGTTTAACTACTAACCTCCAATGCGACAGTGTTAGGAGGGAGGGACTTTGGGAGATGATTAAGCCAGGAAGGTGGGGCCATCATGAGTGGGATTAGTGCCCTTACAAAGGAGCCCCCGGGAAATGGCCTTGTCCCTTCCACCATGTGAGGACACAGCAGGAAGGTGCCATCTGTGGGGATGTGGAACCTCACAAGACACTGCTGGAGCCTTGATCTTGACCTTGGACTTGCTAGCCTCCAGAACTGTGACAAATAACTTTCTGTTGTTTATAAGTTACCCAGTCCAAGGTGTTTTGCTATAGCGGCTCAAGTGGACTAAGACATTTTCCGACAGCAAATATTCATTACGACATTCCCTGAGATATTCACTATATAGAGACTAACTCGAACCCTGGGCAGCCATTTGTGAAGCACTGTCATTATTCTACACACTGACATAGAGATAGCACCAAGGTACACTGGACAGCGAGTAGACTTCCAACCAGACTGACTGGAGTTCAAATCCCATTTTCACCCTTACTAGCTGTGTGACCTTGAGCAAGATACTTCTTCTCTTTGATCCTCCACTTCCTCATCTACAAAATGGAGATAATATTACAGTTCTTGAAGACGCATTTCACAGATAAAAATATGTAGCTATAAATATAAGGTAGGGTGCTTATTACTGAGTTAACAGTTCAAATACCGCATTCTTACCTCTTGCCATGTAAGCTTGTACCATGAATTCTGTCTTAACACTGAAAAAGAAAAAGCTATGTATTAATTATAATTATTGCATCAGGTAGAGTTCAAAATAGTAAAAGATGCCATTTACTAAATAGATTATAAACTAAATAAATTTCTTTATAAAGTATTGCCTTTGTTAATTTAATTTTTGTATATACTGCAGGAGTATGTAAATTGTGTTCATATGCATTTTACTAAAATAGAGCAATATATAACATAATGTAATGTAATAAAATATAATGACATGACAAATAGAGGCTATATTAATATATTATCTTGTTTATCAGGTTAGTAGCCTGAAAAGCAAGACACTATATATTTCTAATCAGTTACCAATATAGCACATATAAAAACTAGGACTGGCTGGGAGGCTGAGGCGGGCGGATTGCTCAAGGTCAGGAGTTTGAAACCAGCCTGAGCAAGAGTGAGACCCCGTCTCTACTATAAATAGAAAGAAATTAATTGGCCAACTAATATATATATAAAAAAAAAACTAGCCGGGCATGGTGGCGCATGCCTGTAGTCCCAGCCCCTCGGGAGGCTGAGGCAGCAGGATTGCTTGAGCCCAGGAGTTTGAGGTTGCTGTGAGCTAGGCTGACGCCACGGCACTCACTCTAGCCTGGGCAACAAGCGAGACTCTGTCTCAAAAAAAAAAAAAAACTAGGACTGGAAAAGAATATATAACACTCAGATCTTTTTATGGACAAAATTGCTCATATACTGACTATTCCATTTCTCCCACAGTTTTTCTTTTCTTTTACTCTGGTTAACATAAATGTTGATTCTAATATTTGAAAACTGTGTTTCCTTCTGAGTTTTGTTCTTTATTTCTATATTTCTTTAAATATTTAACAAAATATTTGTCTTTATCACAATAAAACATAGTAGATGTATCTACCTGGTGAATTGGATATTTTCTCGTAGTGAGGGAGAACAAAAGCTCAATCTTATATCTGAACTGTATTAGTTGGGGTTCTCCAGAGAAACAGAACCAATAGGATGTGTTTTTAGAAAGAGAAGGATATTTATTATAAGGAGTTAGCTCATGCAATTATGAAGGCTTGAAAGTCCCGAAATCTGCAGAGTGAGTCAGCAAGCTATAGACCCAGGTGAGTCAATGGTGTAGTTCCCATCTGAAGGTTGGTAGGCTTGAGACCCAGTAAAAGTCAATGTTTCCGTTCTAGTCCAAAGGCAGAAAAAAGCCAATGTCCCAGTTCAAAGGCCATCACACAGAAAGAACTCTCTTACTTTGGGGAGGCTCAGAGTTTTTGTTCTATTTAGGCCTTCAACTGATTGGGCGAGGGCCACCAACATTATGGAAGCCAACCTGCTTTACTCAGCCTACTGATTCACATATTAATTTTATCCAAAAACAACAACAACAACAAAAAAAAACCCTCACATAAACGCCTAGAATAATGTTTGACCAAATATCTGGGCACCCCATGACCCAGTCAAGTTGATGTCTAAAATCGACCATCACAAGTTCACCCCTTGTCAACTTGGCACCCCACGTGCTTCTTCTTAAACAATATTTAGTCTCCAAATAAAGATAATATTAATAACAAGGTCTGTAAACAGTGTAAGGTAATCAACCTGCCACCAGGTAGCCGGCTGACCACCCTGGGGAATGGTTCCCTGTCGGGGGCTCAGTGTTTGTCTCTGCTGCTGGCAGGCTGGGCAGTCAGCCATGACATGGCTAAGTCAACCTTGATTAGTGGAAGTCCATGTTGCTGAGCACACGCGTGACCTCCATCCCTGACACACTGGCTACTGTTGTCATGTGCCCATCGGGTGATGACAGGGTGGCTGGGGAAAGAGGATGGCTGCATCCACAGAATGGACCATCCTATCCATCTGGTCAGTCAAATCCTCCTCTGCTGAGGTCACCCTTTGGCAAACATCCACATGGGACACAAATGTCTTCATGTTTTTCACCCTTTCAGAGGGGTCTATTCACTTACCTCTTCCCCAAATTTCCTCGTCACCAATTTTTCAATCATGTTTCTTCTAAGTCCCTGACCATCCAGTCATTGGCCACAGTCCACGGATCAGAATATAATCACACGTCTGGCCGTTTCTCCTTCCAAGCAGTGTCAACGCCCAGGTGCATTTTCTCAAGTCTGCACAGTGGGCGGAGTTCCCTTTATGGCTGTCTCTCAGGGATGTCCCATAGAGGAGCTGTAGGCCTGCACCTGTCCACTGCCAGGCGGCGCCATCTGTAAACCAGGCACAAGCACTCTCTTCTTCTGTCAGCTGATCAGAGGGGACTCCCGTGAGGCCACAGGTGCAGAATAAGAGAGGAGGTAGTGTAACAGGAGTGAGGACCATGAGCATTTGGGCCCCTTCTCCACGTAACTTCTTTGTGCCTCAGAGCCTGCTGGGCCTGGTCTTTCATATCCCACTTCCACTTGGCAATAGAGAGCTGCTGTGCATCCCAACATTATGGCCTGGTGGGTCAGACAACACCCAGTTCGTGATGGGCAGCACGGACTGCATGGTAACTTGGTGGCCCATGGTTAAATGTTCAACCTCTGCGAAGGCTCAATACCGTGACAATAGCTGCTTCCTTAAAGGAGACTAGTTATCCATAAAGGATGGTGGGGCTTTGCTCCAAAATCCTTGGGCCCTGTGCTGCAATTCGCTTGCAAGGGCCCGCCAAACGCCAGCCTACCTGCCGCTGACATTTCACGCACCATTGGACCTTCTGGATGATTTAGCCCAAGTGGCAGAGCCGCTTGCACAGCAGCCAGGACCTTTGTAGGGACTTCTGTTCTGGGTTCCACTCAAAACTAGCAGCTTCTTGGGTCACTCAGTAAATTGGCCAGAGTAGCACACCTGAATGAGGAATATGTTGCCTCCGAAATCCAAAGAGACACTGTGCATTGTGCCTCTTTTGTTGGTCATGGAAGGGGCCAGATGCAACAATTTGTCCCTCACCTGAGAGGGTGTATCTTGGCGTGCCCCGTGCCCCTGGACACCTAGAAATTTCACTGAGGTAGAAGAAATTCCCTGAATGTTTGTCCCAATTATTTCCCACCCTGAGACATGCAGATGTCTTTCTCACCAGTAAGTCTAGAGTAGTTGCTACTTCTTGCCCACTAGGTCCAGTCACCATGATGCCATCAGTACAATGAAACAATGTGATATTTTGTTGCAGGGAAAGGCCAACTGCGGGGCAGACATGGGTAAAAACTCCAGTGATCACCAGACCTTCATAAGCCTCTAGGCTAACAGGTGAACCACAGTGACATTTTGGGTCTTCTGGAATTGGCGTCAATTCAGAGATAGCGCCCCAAACAGTCTTCAAAATGTCTGATTATTTTCTTTTCCCCAATGCACAGTTTCTCTGGTAAAAAGACTCTAGTTCCCTTTGGGGAAGGCTGGAAGAAATACTAATAGTATGAATTTTCGGCAGTGTATCAGGAGGTCCTTCCTCAAGGGAACTCAGCAACCAGCCAATGCCATAGGTTTCTGGAAGTCAGACCATCCTGACTGCTACATTGGCTCTGCTGTCCATTGCAGTAACCACACCCACCTGCCAATCAGCCGTGGCCACCCCTGGATCCAACTGCTCCCACTGCATTTAGGTTTCCCAATTCAGAGGCCATGGTTCCACATCAAGGTCTGGCCTACAGAGAAGAGCGATCACAGAGTTCCTCAAGGACGCTGGGGCTTCCTTGTGAATTTATTTGTCACTGTCATGGTGAAAGGTATGTTTCCTGGCCCCTCCCAGGGTGAATGAGCAGGTAGGATGACAAATCCACTCTAGCATTCCAATGGCCCGAAGACTTTGAATCCCTTCTCTACATTAAACCAAGGCAGTTCTGGCATTTCTCACTCACTCCCTGTGGACCACCTTTTGGCCCATGTCTCAGCCAAAGAAAACGACCCCCGATCCTTCCCAGCTCCCAGGGATCTGCAACATTAAATGCAGAGACTCTCTGCTTAGTGTACCCATGTCAATAAATTCAGCCTGACCCAGCTTTCTGCTTCTCCCATGATTATCCCGCATTCCTAATATCCGTCCCCAGCGATGTCGCCCAGGTTTCTGTCTGCGTAGCTTGGAAAACTCAGGTAGTTCTTTCGACGAGTAGCGCCCCTTCTCAGGAGTCACACGTTGCGCTTTGCCCTCAGGGTCCTGCTGGGACGTAAGTCCAGCCATAAGTCTAGAGGCAAAGAAGGGCGGTGGGGCTGGGCCGCGCGGGGAATTAACTCTGTCTTGCGAGGCAGCCGGCCCGTCGCCGTTTAGCAGCTCAGCGTCCCCAGCTTCATGGAGGTCTTTCCACACATGCCCATCCCAACCTTGGGGATCCCAGTCCTTCCCAATCCATGTTCTCGCTCTAACTGCTGACACCCCGTGGCTGGGAGTCCGGTCTGTGCTGCGATTCAGGCAGCTGCAGGATGGGACCGTGGGTTAGACTGTGAGCAGTCTCAGCCCCGTGGCTGCAGGAGACAAGGGCCTCCTTCAAGACACACGGAAAAGCCTTCGAGTCCTTTACATGGTGCTGTAGCTGTGAGTTCCAATCCCTGACTTCTCCCTTTTATTCCTCTACCTTGTGTGGTGACAGTAGGAGCGAACGGCCAACCTCTTTAAACTCATTAGTTTGACAAAAAATGGTTAAAAGTATCATACACACAGGCACCCGGATCCTCGCTTCTGGCAAGTGGTTGCTTAGGATTATCTGATGGTGACATTTCGCATGTCCCTGTTGCCAGATCACTCACGGACTGGCAGTGCTCTCTCCACTGGATACATACACACAGCGGTAGAGATCATGAGGAAGAAGGAGCTGGCTCACGGGATTACAGACTACAGTGCCAAGATCTGCAGAGAGTGGCAAGCTGGAGGCCAGGAGGCCATGGTGTAGCTCCAAGCCAAAGGCTGGCGGGCAGGCTTGAGAAACAGGAAGAGCCGACGCTTCAGTTCCAGTCCAAAAGCTGGTAAAAGCTGAAGCCCCATTTGAAGGCCAGCAGGCAGGAAGAATTCTCCTTACTCAGGGTATAGTCAGCCCTTTTGATCTACTCAGACCTTCAACTGGTTGGATGAAACCCACCCAAACTGTGGGGTGGGGACCATCTTCTTCATTCAGTCTAGGCATTTAAATGTTAATCTCATCCAGAAACACTCTCACAGAAACACCCAGAATAATGTTTGACCAGACATCTGAGCACTCTGAAGCCCACTCAAGTTGACACACAAAATTTACCATCACGCTTACCTATTACGTTCTTTGCATTAACTATTTTGTCTGCCATATGTCGTCTCTGTTACAGGAGAAAAAAAAATTCATTACATCTAAAGTTCTAAATGAATGACTCAACTCATAATACAAGACACAGCAATTTTAAGAAAGAATAGTGGCAGCCAACGTAAAGTCCTCTTTGGCTATAATTGACTTCGGTTTCATTTTGCCCTCACGACTTCCTCGGCAGCACAGTGCCGAAGCGTGCGGACTCTGGAGCCAGCTGGCCTTGGCTGGCATCCTAGCTCTGCCCTTTGCTAATGCAACCTCTTTGGTCATGAACCCACCTGTGCCTCCATTTAAGGAGTATAAATACACACACAGAGAGAGTGGGTAGAGGGGGGGAGAAGGAGAGAGAGAGGGAGAGAGACTCACAGTACAATGCACCTGGTGCATAGTAAGTACTATGTGAAATGTTAGCATATTATTTATTACTTATAATGACCATTACCAATTCTGGATTTTGCCCCAACTTAACCTAAGATTTTCTTATGAGGTTTGAAAAATTCTTTTGTATGATAAGCCAACCCAAAAGGCGACGGACTAGATCTCACTGGTGTCATATCTTTGTAGGATGTAGGAATCAGAGAGAAGCACGTCAATGACAGCAGCTAGCAATTCTGGAAAATGCGCGTTAAGACTGTGAGTGCAGAGGAAGCAGAAAACGGTATGGACCCTTTGCACTCGCTTGCTTTTTTCTCATTATCCACTCGACATTATCCACACTCGACATCCGAGTGCAAAGGGTTAGGTATCTCCCTGTACCCATGACAAGGCTAAAAATGAAACGAAAACGCAGCACCATTTATGTGCATATTCCTTTTAGCCATTTGAGACTTTCACCTAAAATTGGATTATATCCCACAGACACTATCATAATTCTTATGGCAGCTATTAAGTCCCGTTAATCTCTCAAATATAGAAGCCAAAGAGTATATAATTTAAAATTTGAAGCCTGAAAACTTTTACTCGCTGTTCACACCAACTAGACTTGAAAGAATTATACCAGTTCCAACCAACTGCCTGACAAAAGGGGCAATAAACAATACCTTTACATTTTGAGAGCATTTCATTCTTCAACGGCAAACTTACATAATCTTCCAAGATCTCTTTGATGCCTGAAATAATAAGAATAACCAACAAAGGCACGAGGGTTGTGTATTTTCCTGTCGGAGACACGTCTGGAATTTGCTGCAAAGTTACAGAGTTACATTGTCAATTACAGAGTTACAGAGTCAATTTGCTCAGAGTTACAGAGTCAGCTACAAGTTACAGAGTTACACTGTCAATTTTATGATAAATCCTTGTTATGTTTTGCTTACGTCCAAAGCCACTACTAGGGCCGTGGCCCGGGACGAGGAGGCAGTAGGCACATTAAACACAAAGGGGAAGGAAGCTCTTAGCGTGTCAAAGCCACCCACTGCGGGTGACACTAAATGCCACGTTAGGAAAAGTTGCCAGCGCCACTGCTTCGCAACACCCCAGTCATCCACCACCTTCCTCACAGGACACCTCCATCATGTTTTGAAAGGAACAGCTCGAAACCTAAATGTTAATTTATAATAGCATCTTTTTCAAAGCAGAGAAACCCAGACAGCCTGGTATCTTAACCTTAACTGCCTTCTGGGCAGAGGAGGAACGTTTTTGGAGGCCCAGGAGAAGACTGTTTCCCCGGGCACAGACTAATTATGGGGCTGTGCTCCAGGCCTGCCGTCCCCAACCCACGGCCGGGGACCGGCACTGGCCCAGCCTGCCAGGGACGGGGGCCCAGGGCTGCACCCCACCCCACCCCCATCTGTGGGAAAATCGTCTTACTTGAAACCAAAAACAGTTGGGGACTTCTGCTCCCGTATCGAAATGCGGGAAATAGAGCAGCTGAAGCTGGGGCCGCGGCAACTCTGAGGCTAGTTCTTAGGCCTCGGTTTCCAGACCTGGCCTGTGTGCACTCCCCACTCTGCCTCATTCTCCCTGCTTATTGTTAATATTTCTGTGCACAACGTAGCAAAATAGAGTCGATCTGAAGCTCCTGATGGCTCTTATGACAACTTTAAAGGGAATCCGAGGCCGGGCGCGGTGGCTCACGCCTGTAATCCCAGCACTCTGGGAGGCCGAGGCGGGAGGATCGCTCGAGGTCAGGAGTTCGAAACCAGCCTGAGCGAGAGCGAGACCCCGTCTCTACTAAAAATAGAAAGAAATTGGCCAAATTGGCTTTTCTAAAAATATATAGAGAAAAAATTAGTCAGGCATGGTGGTGCATGCCTGTAGTCCCAGCTACTCGGGAGGCTGAGGCAGGAGGATTGCTTGAGCCCAGGAGTTGGAGGTTGCTGTGAGCTAGGCTGACGCCACAGCACTCTAGCCAGGGCAACAGAGTGAGATTCTGTCTCAAAATAAAAATAAATAAATAAATAAATAAATAAATAAATAAATAAATAAATAAATAAATAAATAAATAAATAAATAAATAAAGGGAATCTGAGTGGTGGAAGATGGAAGAGGGGACATTTTAGGACTTCTTAAGCTATCCATTGACTCCTCCTTGGAAACATCCTTGTTTCTCTCCCTCTTCTCTCCTCCGCGCAGCTCCAAGCCGGTCCCTTTGCCCACGGACGCCTCCCTGCCTCTTCCTCGCTTAAGACCAAGCAGAGCTGTCTGCGCCACCGTGCCCCTGGCGACTGCCACTGCCTACCCGCCGTCCCCGTGACGAAGTTGAGCTTCTGAGGACAACACACCACCCTCCTCGTAACCCGGCCCCAGCTGACGCCTTTGGCCTCTTTTCTACTCTGCCCTCTGCACCCCAAACCACGTTTCTGCTGTTTCCGGAACACTCCACACAGCAGGTGAAAATGTAGGTAACAACACATTCATGTGCTTCACAATTCAAAATATATAAAAGGGCCGGGAGTGGAAATGCTCCCTTTTCCCCAAGCCCACGGCTCCTGATCCTCCTCAGAAAGGCGGCCCCCGTTTCCAGCTTCCTCGCTGTCCCCTGCGCCCCAGGCCTTCTGTGGTGCCGAGGCTGACTGTTCAGTTCTTTCTTCAATATTTGGCTCAAATGTCACCTCTCTCCAGTAGCTTTTCCTGAACCACTCACCCCAAGCCAGGAGCAGGCCCTGTTCCTCCAGCACTTTACAAATACTCGCTGTCTTAAAATGCTCATGCACTAGACTCCGAGCCCTACAGGGGCAGGCACCATGTCTAGCCCTTCATTCACCCTTAAATTTTCAATTCCACAAACAGGTTTTGACATACGCCATGTGTCCTCTATAAATGGTTACTGAATCCAATACTTCTGTTTAAGGTCAGTTCAATGAGTTTATTCAGTTCTCATCCCAAAGCCTAGCAGTTTCTAAGACATTATTTCTGTTCTCAAAGAATTCATAGCTTTCTGGAAGAAATAAAACCAGTTATTTATATGTTAGCACAAATCATTGTTGCAGGCATTTAGAGTAGAAGGGAGAAATTAGTGTGGACTATGGCATTTGGTGAAGTTTGGAGTAAGATGGCTTTGAGCTGGGCTTTTAAGAGAATGGGTAGGATGTAGCCACATAAATGCCTTCGAGGTTTAGGTGATAGTGTGTGCCAAGGTCTAGAAACAGGAAGAAAACTGGGGAACTGGAAGGAGACTTACCTGGTTGGATTGTGGGGTTCGTGTTGGAAATGAAGTTGAACAAACAGGGATAAGCCAGACTATGGAAAGCCTTGAATTTAACTGTTTTGAAAAGATGCTATTTTAGACTAGTATTTGGATTTCCTTAAAGTATTCCTTTCAAAATATAATAAAATTATTCTGTTACGGAGGTAGCTTGGATGACCAAAGTTTCTCCAATAATATCTCATTAAAGGTCTCAGTTAGGATGAACTGTGGGCCAACTCATCTGTTAGGCGTCCACGGGTTTTTCATCCCCAAAATAGAGCTTTAATGTCTCACTTCATGATTTCAATATTGTGAGAAGAGAGTTTTGTTCTTACAGTATTTAAATCTGTTTTCTGCATCAAACTCTTATTTCAGCGAAATGAGCTTTTAACAAGTGTTCTTTTAGACTAAGAATCTCAATCTAATAACATGTTCAAAACTATTACCTGCAATACAGTGATGAGCAAAAAGAAAGCGTTGGCAGCTTTGCTGAACTGAAGATACAAGTATCGTGGGAGGAACGACCACAAGCTGTACTTGGTTGTGCTGCGAGTGAAAAGAGAAATACCGTTGTCAGCTGACATTCTGAACACCAAAACCAGTAACGGAACACGTGAAGCATGCAGTAAAAATAAAACCTGGAGTTTATAAAACACTGACCCTTTCCTAAAAGATATTTTGTCCTTTTTATAAAGCACTCACTGTTGGCGGAAAACGATTTCAGAATAAAGGAAGGATAATTCTCCCCATTTCGGGACCTACGTGCTGTGAGTACAGCAGGCGTGCAGAGAGGCGCGTGGTCTGAACACATCCGCAGGGAAAGACGAAGAGGAGCCCCACCTTTGATTTCACTCGCGATGGAGATCATTTGCTCGTTTATTCCCTCAGCAAATGTTTCTTCGGTAGCTCCTGTGCGCCAGGCACGATTCTGGGCACTTGAAACGCACCAGAGAAAACGCAAAGCTCCCTGCCCTTCCGGGCTCACAACGGATGGAGAAGACAAACAGCCACCGACTCACACGATGAGAAGTTAGGTATGCGCGTGTGTTCAGGTGACAAGCAAGACTCACCCCACACCTCCTAAGGGCTTGGCCTGCTTCCGATAAAACTCCTAGTGAACTCTGTCTTCAGTTTCGGGGGTAACGACAGACATAATTCTTCCCCTTTCTCCTTTGCACAGGTTTTTTTTATCATTAAAAGTTGTCTTAAATCTGTCTGGGCCCCAGTGCCTAGGCCATGTCGCAGACAGAGAAAAATCTCCTTGAGGACGTTTCTTTTTTTTTTTTTTTCTCATTGATCTGCTTTGTTTAACGAGTTTCTGGTTTAAAAATCAGAAAGACTTAAAATCAAAACCGCGTGTGTTCCAAATCGGCCTAGAGAAGTGGGAGGCCGGGGCAACCACGCAGAACAGGGTTTGGGGTGCACTCTACAACGTCGCGGGATTTAGGCAGAGGTACAGGGAGTGAACAAGGTGTACTGGGGTAAATTGTAAGGGTCACTAAGAGAAGGCCCAGGTCCTTGACCCAAGGCCGAGCCCAGAGCTGCTACTGCGGGTCAGGCGGTGGGTCTGAGGGACCCCCTGCCCACTGTCACCCACATTCTGGAAGGAAAGCGGGGGAGCAGTCTTGCCAGTAAGGGAACAGGTCCCGGGAAGCCAGGTCCCGGCAGTCGGGGCTCGGGTGCCATCTCTTCCCATGGGTCAGGTGGGAAAGCCGGCTGCCCCGCACCAGGCACCTCGGAGAGGGGCCTTGGGTGCAGCCCTCCAGCCGGAGGGGCGGGGGAGGCAGCGGGAGGTTCAACCAGCCGAGGGTACTGCCTAGACAACTGGCAGTCAGCTCCCCGGCTCACTCGCAACCATTCTGCTCATCGTGCCGCTAAAACAACGTGAAAGCACGAAAGCTGTTTTAAAAGAGAGGGAGACAGAACACAAAATGACAGAATCATGGCCAAATATGCATTACAGATAATAAATATAAGTGGCAAAAAAAAAAAAACTAACTAAAATGAGTCAAAACACAGAACCCGAATTAAAAGAAATATTCCTACCAAATGTCTGAGAAAAGTGCTAAATAAAAGGCTACCCAAATGTTGAAGAGGCCAATTCGAGAGAAAGCCAAGTAGGAAGAGTCTGCAATATTGAGAATATAAGGCAAAGTTGAATTCAAACTAAAAAACCTTAAGCAGAGAAAGAGGACCACTTTGTAAAGATTAAGAGGATGACCCACACTGGAGATACAAGTTCCACAAACCGTTATGCCTCAATTTAGGTAGCATTGGACTACAGAAGGTTTTACAACCGCAGGGACCCTAACAGAAGGCATTGACAGACATGTGATGGTGAAGAATACCGACTTGATTCTCTCAGTCCTATCCCAGATAAAAAAATACTGAAGATGTGGGTAGTAGAGTTAAGATCTTACATACCTATCTGTTGAGAGAGACGTGTGTATATTACTGTGAGGTACCAAACTCTGGACCCTTAATAGAGAAGAATATACCTTTTCAAGTTTGGAACAGTTATAACAACCAGATTTAAGGAAAATGAATTTTCAAACAATAGAAATGATCCATATTTCTCTGACTGCAATGAATTAAACTGAAACTATGATGAGTAACTGAAATGTAAACAAAAAGAAAATAAAAGCTACTTAAGTATCAGATTTTTTTTTTTTTAGGAACTTGGATAAAAACTAAGAAATCAGAACTAGCAGGTACTGCAGTTCCAGTGTACAAAAAAAGACACTTCAGTAGACCCTCATTAAGTCTTCAAATATGCTGAAATGACAGATGGGAATTTATATAACACAAGAAAGACATTACAGATGAACTGGGGTGAGACGATTGGTCAACCAATCGGAACATAAATTTAGCTGGTGTCTACCTCATTTCTTACAGCAAAATAAATTCTACTCAGATGAAAAATTTAAAGTAAAGCAAAAAAGATAGCCTAGGGCTGTTGGGGGTAGGTTTTGGGGGAAAGGGGAGTGGCATTAATGGGTATGGAGGTTTTTTGGAATGATGAACATGTTCTAAAACTGGTTGTGTTTATGGTAGTACAACTTTGAGAATCATCAAATTGTACAATTTAAATTGAGTAAATTGAATGACGTGTGAATTTTACCTCGATAAAGCTGTTATAAACAAATTAATAAAATTTTCAAAAATAAAGGATTCAAATATTAGAATAGAAAATGAATTGCTAGACGCAACCTTGAAATAGAGAATTCCATTTTAAACTCTGCAGGGAGAACAGAAGTCACAATGTCAATGAGTGAAATTTGACTGCATAAAAATATAAAAGTTCTGTTAGGAAAGAAATATGAATAACCAACTGGGGAAAAATATTTGCAGCACACATGAAAAAGGAGTATACAAAGAGAGCATACTCTTTGTACACTCTCTAGTGCGCACATCTCTGGTGTACAAAGAATGCGAGACTTATTTAAGCTAGTCCCTCCTAAACTGTGCACCATGGAAACCCCAAGAAAGGCTGGTGTAGGCTCTCTTCTTGCTCCTGTCTTCCGCCTCCTGACCAAAAACCTGGCGCTTCCCCTGAGACCCTGCTTGGCACCTGGTGACCCCTCTCTAAGACCTGTGAGTGCAATAAGCTTTTTTTCCTGAGCCTCTTATATTTCCTCTTGTGGCAGTGCCTGACTGACCATCTCATGAAAGAACACAGAAGAACACCGCATCGGGGCAGAACTGCTATCGAAACAAAACCTCCCCATCAAGGCACATTTTTCCTCATTGGAAGAAGAGGTATTCTCTTCCAGTGAGGAATTCTGTTCTCACAAGCACCAGCAATTATTCTGTTTTTTTTTTTTTTTTTTTGAGACAGAGTCTCACTTGTTGCCCAGGCTAGAGTGACGTGCCGTGGCCAGCCTAGCTCACAGCAACCTCAAAACTCCTGGCTCAAGTGATCGATCCTCCTGCCTCAGCCTCCCGAGTAGCTGGACTACAGGCATGGCGCCCACTGGCCCGCTAATTGTCTATATATAATGATTGGCCAATTAATTTCTTATTTATAGTAGAGATGGGGTCTCGCTCTTGCTCAGGCTGGTTTCCAACTCCTGAGCAATCCGCCCACCTCGGCCTCCCAGAGTGCTAGGATTACAGGCGGGAGCCACCGGGCCCGGCCTTCGATATTCTTAATTTGTCTTAAAATTCTATTTTGGTGAAACCAAACATTAGCATGAGACAACATTAAACAAAATAGGATAAGATGAAAATTCCATAGAAGTTATGATATAATTCTGCAAATACACTTTTAGAATGAAGGGCTGTTTTAAGGCTTGTCAAAGAGAGCACGGTGGGAGTTCATGTTTCACACTTGACTGTAACCTTGACAATCCCTATGGCACATGGAATTTTTTGTTTTTTAAAGACGTATTTACTGATCAGCTAACTTTGAAGTATTTTTTTATTATGGAGACTTTCATATATATACAGAGATGGAGAGAACGGAAAGATATAGAACCGCCCAACATTATCTCGCCAGTACGACAAGCTATCCTCTGTGGCCAGCTTTGTTCTGTCCAGACTGCCAATTCTCTACCCCACCCCTGCATTATTTGAAGCAAACCCCACACATCAAATAATTGCATCTGTGAGTAATTCAGAATAAATTAGACAGATAACTTTAAAACTACCTTTCATACATATTTAGCCTACCCAAAAGTATTTATATCTAAGAGGGAAGATATTGGTAAATACCCTAAATAAATTTCAAAAAGAAAGGGCACAAGACAATGCGTTGGAGCCCTTTACCTCTAAACACCTCTACTTCTTCTAGTTTCTTCTGTTCTAGATAATCTGAGATCCCTCCTGGCTCTAAGTTTCCCTGACGCTACAACTATAAACTTATTGTTATGGCCTTAGAGATCTGGCCGGGCGCTGGGCATGGTGGCTCATGCCTGCAATCCTAGCACTCTGGGAGGCCGAGGCGGGAGGATCGCTCAAGGTCAAGAGTTCGAAACCAGCCTGAGCAGGAGCAAGACCCGTCTCTACTAAAAATAGAAAGAAATTAATTGGCCAACTAAAAATATATAGAAAAAATTAGCGGGGCATGGTGGTGCGTGCCTGTAGTCCCAGCTGCTCGGGAGGCTGAGGCAGGAGGATCCCTTGAGCCTAGGATTTGAGGTTGCTGTGAGCTAGGCTGACGCCACGCACTCTAGCCTGGACAACAAAGTGAGACTCTGTATCAAAAAAAAAAGAATCTACTAGCATCTGTAACTAGAGACACTGGGACTAATGTGGAAAGAAAATGGATTTTGCTATCAAAGAGGCTGGGTTTTATTTTGACCCTGACACTTAGTGGCCAGGTGACCAAGGGAAAATCATATAATCTTTCCTGCTTCAGTTTCACTCATGATAAAATGAGTTAATAATGTCCTTCATGGTTTATGAAAAATAGTATAAAAAGACTAGAGTAGTTGTCACAAAATGGGATACCCCAGATAATTCACTAAAAATTCTACTTAGTATTTGCATATTTTAGTCTGAAAGAAAAGCAATTAAGACTAATTAACATTTAACATACAGGTTGACACTGGCCCTCGCTTGTTCTGTATATCGTGTAATTAGGCATAGATTTCCTTTTGCTTACCATGCTCGGGATTTATTGTGGTCCCTGAATTTTAAGATTCACGTCTCTCATTCATTCTGGAAAAACTCTGGCCATTATTTCTTTGAATAATGTCTGTCCTATTATTCCCTCTATTCTCTCATTTTGGTACTCTGATTTGATACAGACTAGAGCTGCTAATTCTGCCTTTCGTGTTTCTGAACCACTCCTTAATATTTTCCAATTCTTCACCTTTCTTTCTTTCTTTTTGTTTTTAGACTTTTTTTTTATTTCGGCATATTATGGGGGTACAGATTTTAAGGTTTCAATAAATGCCCTTTCGCCCCCTCCCCCGACAAGTCTGAGTTTCCAGCATGACCATCCCCCAGATGGTGCACATGTCACTCATTATGTATGTATATACCCGCCCCCTCCCCCCCTCTTCATCTTTCTAGGTCGTGTCAGGAGGATTTTCTCATACCTGCTTTGTGGTACATGAAGTCTGCTTTCGGTTGTGTCTCCCCGCCACCCACCCTCTTTATACCCCAGGCACAGAGATTGTTTAACAGATGATCAATTTTGATTTCTAGGCTATATATGTTCCTTTTCCAAATTTACTGTGGTCTTTTTTAAAAAACAATCTTTTGTTCTTCATTCATACTTGCGATATACTCTGTTATTCCTTTAAACATACCATACAATCATGTGCAGTGGAAAACACTCTATTTTATATTCTCTACCTGATAGTTCTTCTACCTAAAGTCCTTTAAAAGTCTGATTCTGCTTGCTTTGATTTATTTTTTTCATTCTTTCTGCTGCCTCTCACTAATGACATCTTGGTTTCTCCTGTGTCGGCAGATTTTTAGCTCAGGTTTGCTCAAACTTCATCTCCAGGAAACCATCAGGGCCTGAACATCCCCCAGGCACCAGTTTTTGCCTTTGCTACTGCCACGTGCCTGGGGGTGCCCGCAATCCGGCATCATCTAAAACTATATTTTAAGTTTGAGTTTCTCTGCATCACACAAATATCAATTTAGGCAGCAAAACCACAGAAAAATTATCAGTGTGTATTAATAATTATTAACATATTTTTTTTGCCTAAACTCAGAACCAAGTTTAAGAGAGGTTAAGTTTCCTCGCTCGCTATATCCCTTTTGCAAGGCAGAGTTTCAATGTTTTTCTCCCTCCACTTAGGATGTAGCCCCCCAGAGTCCCAGTTTCACAGAGGCAGGGTCCCCAACTCCCATTCCACCCTGTGCAGCTCAGGGCATCACAGCTTTGCCATGGCTGAGCCTCATGAGTAGAGCTCCGAGTCACCTGCACTGTGTAGAGTCCCTGGAGCAGCCACCCTGTTTAATACCCGCACCCCCTTGAATTTCTGCTGGGCCTTCATTTTTTGGCCTCCACAAAGAATTTATGAAGAAGACCCCAAAGGCAATCACAACAGCAACAAAAATAAACAAATGGAACCTGATCAAATCAAAAAGCTTTTGCACAGCCAAAGAAACTGTCAAGAGAGCGAACAGACAACCCACAGAATGGGAGAAAATTTTTGCAAGCTACACATCTGATAAAGGGCTGATAACTAGAATCTATTTAGAACTCAGTAAAATCAGCAAGAAAAAGTCAAACAACCCTACCAAAAAATGGGCAAAGAACATGAACAGAAACTTCTCAAAAGAAGACAGAATAATGGCCAACAAACATATGAAAAATTGTTCAACATCTCTAATCATCAGAGAAATGCAAATCAAAACCACAATGAGATATCACTTAACTCCAGTGAGAATGGCCTTTATCAAAAAGTCCCCAAACAACAAATGTTGACGTGGATGCGGAGAGAGAGGGACATTCCTACACTGCTGGTGGGACTGCAAACTAGTTCAACCTCTGTGGAAAGCAATATGGAGATACCTCAAAGCGATACAAGTAGATCTACCATTTGATCCAGCAATTCCACTACTGGGCATCTACCCAAAAGATCAAAAATCACTTTACAAAAAAGACACATGCACTCGAATGTTTATAGCAGCACAATTCACAATTACAAAGCTGTGGAAACAACCCAAGTGCCCATCAATTCATGAGTGGATTAATAAAATGTGGTATATGTATACCATGGAATACTACTTAGCTTTGAGAAACAATGGTGATATAGCACCTCTTGTATATTCCTGGATACAGCTGGAACCCATTCTACTAAGTGAAGTATCTCAAGAATGGAAAAACAAGCACCACATGTACTCACCAGCAAATTGGTATTAATGGATCAACACCTAAGTAGACATATAGGAGTAACATTTATCAGGTGTCGGGAGGGGGGAGGAGGGGGTGGGTATATACAACCACAACGAGTGAGATGTGCAACATCTGGGGGATGGACACGCTTGAAGCTCTTACTCGAGGGGGAGGGGAGCATGGGCAATATATGTAACCTTAACACTTGTACCCCCATAATACACTAAAATAAAAAAAAAGAACCCTAATGCTCAATCCCCCAATTCAGTCTGGGTGTAGGGAGCCCAGCAGATCTGTGAGGTCCCCTTGGGAAGCACTCTCCCTCGTACTTGTAGTTGTTGCTAAAGAGAGTTGCCAGTAGGCAGTGGGCCACGCGGTGACAGCCAGGACCAGGAACAAGTGAGAGCAGAGGCCATTCAGAGACAGGGGCCTTGAAGGCAAGAAGAAGACAGATCCCCGCTAAGTGAACCTGAGGATTGAACGTTTCTCGAGGTTTGAGAAAACCATTGCAGCCTGAAGCACAGAATCACACGAATGTATCCATAGAGAGTATCCTTTGTACGGGGGAAGGCCCCGTCTTCCTCCCCCAGCCCCCGTCTCTCCCAGTTGCATACATACACTTTCCTCACCTGATCGAGTTTTTGCAGAAAGTGTTCCTAAGGGGATCGTTGATGTAGATGGTGCGGGTTTCTGGCGCTTTTGAGCCATGAAGAGCTTGTCGCAAGCTCATCCTTTACTCTGCCTTCTGGCCCTCCACGGAGAAATGAGTAGGCCCTGCAGCAAGAAGGCACGCGGGCATCACACACAAACGCAAGCAAAGGCAGCCTCACCCCCTCAGATGTGGCGGGTCCCTTGGGGGCAGGCTGTCCTCCCGGCCACCGGCTCCTCTCCTGCCCACTCCCTCCCTGCCAGGATCTGTGATTTGACCAGAGGATGTCAGACAAAAAGCAAAGTCGAGCAATTTTCTTATTCGAGTTCAGAGTCGGTCACAAAGTAGCAGAGACAATTAACGACACCAAGATGAGGAGCTTAGCAGCCGGCCATCAGAAGTTGACAACGACCAATGGAGAGCAATCATCGCAGCTGATCCTCTTACACCTACACGAGAAGTTGCTGAAGAACTCAAGGCCGACCATTCTACAGTCATTCCACATTTGAAGCCGATCGGAAAGGTGAAAAAGCTCAGTAAGTGGGTGCCTCGTGCGCTGATTAAATATCAAAAAAAAAAAATCTTCCTTTTGAAGTGTTGTCTTCTCTTCTTGTATGCAACAAACGGGCCATTTCTCAATCAGATTGTGATGTGCAACAAAAAGTGGATTGTATGTGTCAACCAGCGACAACCAGCTCAGTGGTTGGACAGAGAAGAAGCTCCAAGGCACTTCCCAAAGCCAAACTTGTACCACAAAAATGTCGTGGTCACTGTTTGGTGGTCTGCAGCTGGTCTGATCCACCACAGCTTTCTGAATCCCGGCAAAACTGTTACATCTGAGAAGTCTGCTCAGCAGACAGATGAGATGCACCAAAAACCGCACCGCCTGCAGCTGGCATCCGTCAAGGGAAAGGGCCCAATTCTTCTCCATGACAACGCCCCACTGCACGGCACAGAGCCAACGCTTCAAAAGTTGAGTGAGTTGGGCTGCGAAGTTTCGCCTCATCCACCAGGTTCACCTGACCTCTCGCCAACCAGCTACCACTTCTACAAGCATCTCGCAGCTTTTTGTAGGGAAAACACTTCCACAACCAGCAGCTTGCAGAAAATGCTTTCCCAGAGTTCACTGAATCCCGAAGGAGGGATTTTTACGCCACAGGAATAAACAAGCTTATTTCTCATTGGCAAAAGCGTGTTGATTGTAATGGTTCCTGATTTTGATTAGTAAAGATGTGTTTGAGCCCAGTTGTAATGATTTTAAAATTCAAGGATCCAACACCGCAATTATTTTTGCACAAACCTAATAACTAAAATCAGAAATTAAAGTAGGGTCATTACTATCAATTCTACAGAAATAGAAACAATTACAGTATGAGAGCATATGAAAAATTTTTGTGCCAACATATTGGGTAGCCTAAATGATACAAATTCCTAAAAACATAAAACCTGCCGAGACTAAGTCACAAGAAATAGAAAATCTGAGTAGACCTATACTTAGGAGATTGAATCACTAATAAAAAGTCTCTGAACAAAGAAAAGCCCTGGACCTGATGGCTTCACCGATGATTCTTTTGTGTTGTTTTATTTTGTTTTTTTAAATGGCACATAATAGTCATGTATATTTGTGGGATAGGTTGGGATATTTCAATACATATATACATCATGTGATGGTCAAAGCAGGGTGATCACTGGCATTTTTATCACCTTATTGGTTTATCTTCACTGGTGAATTCTACCAAACATTTAAAGAAGACTAACACCAACTCTTCTAAAACTTTCCTTAAAAATCTAAGAAGGGAAAAGACTTCCTAACTCATTCTATGAGGCCAGCACTACCCTGGTACCAAAGCCAGACAAAGACCTCACAAGAAAAGAGAAGTACGGACCAATATCCTTTATGAACATCGCTGAAAAAAATCCTCAATGATATATTAGCAAACTGAAGAATGGATGAAAATCATGTTTAAAAAAATTATACCCCATGACCAAGTGAGATTTATTTTTGGAATACAAGTATGGTTCCACGTATGAAAATCAATCGATGTAATATACCATATTAACAAAATGAAGGGGAAAAACCAGGAGATCATCTCGATTGATGCAGAAAAGCATTTGGTGAAATTTGACACCCTTACATGATAAAAGCATTCAACAAATTAGGAATAGAAGCTGCTCAAATGGAGGGTGAGGACAGGTGTTTAAGGAAAATGCAGGGGTTCGGGGTGTCAGGAGCCAGCAGACGTGTGAGCAGAAGGGGTCAGCCTCTGGGCTGTGACTGCTGCACGGGGCTCACGGTGCACGCATGAGGAAAAAGAGGGTGAAGGAAGGGTGCCTCTCAGCCTGCAGGCCCTCTTCCCGGGGTGCCATGAGCACCGCCAATTTCCCAGCTACTGAAGAAAGTGCAGGAAGATCTTAGCAAAGTGACGTCTCAAGATGGTGCTTCTCAGTCCCTAGAAGACATTCAACAAGAGTTGGAATTATCTGTGAAGATGGAACAAGGAAGTGGGCACACTAAAAATGATCTTGATGGATTTCAGAAGCGATTTCATAGATTTTTGCAAGAAAGGGGGCCTTCTGTGGATTGGGGGAAAAACCCAGAGACCTCCAGAAAATTCTATTCAACCCTATAAAAAGATAAAGACTTGCCTGATAATACATCTTCTGTGCTGAACAAGCTAGAGCTGGTGAAACTTAATGGTGGTCTGGGAACCAGCGTGGGCTACAAAGGCCCTAAAAATCTTATTGGTGTGAGGAATGAGAATACCTTTTGGCATCTGAATGTTGAGCAAATAGAACATTTGAACAAAACCTATGGTACAGATGTTCCTCTTATTTCAATGAACTCTTTCAACATGGATGGAGATACCAAAAAAAAAAAAAAAAAAAAACTACAGAAGTACAATCATTGTGTAAAAATCTATACTTTTAAACAGAGCAGGTAGCTAAGGATTAATAAAGAGTCCTTAATTACTGTAGCAAAGGGTGTATCTTACTCAGGGAAAATGCAGAAGCTTGGTACACTCCAGGCCATGGCAATATCTATGCCAGTTTCTATGAATACAACTCTGGTTCACTCGATACCCTTACAGAAGAAGGCAAAGGTATATTTTTGTGACTAATGTAGATACTCTGGGTGCCACAGTGGATCTTTATATTCTTAATCATCTAATGGACCCACCCAATGGAAAATGCTATGAATTTGTCATGGAAGTCACAAACAAAACACATGCAGATGTGAAGGATGAGATACTCACTCAATATGAAGACAAACTTGGTGGGAATTACTCAAGTACCCAAAGCACACATTGACGAGTTCAAGTCTGTATCAAAGTTCAAAATAGCTAACACAACCACCCGTGGATTTCTCCTGCAGCAACTAAAAGACTGCAGGAACAGAATGCCGTCGACGTGGAAAATCACTGGGAAGCCAAAGACTGTGGATGGAGGGCTGAATGTAATTCAATTAGATCCTGCAGGAGGGGCTGCCATTAAAAGTTCTGAGAATTTGCTAGGTATTAATGTTCCAAGGAGCCGTTTTCCGCCTGTCCAAACCACATCAGGTCTCTTGCTTGTGAGGTCAAACCTCTACAGCCTTGAATGCCTTGATCTCTGATGATGAGCGAAAAGGAATTCCCTGCAGTGTGGTTGGTTAAATCAGGCACTTCATTCACAAAGCTTCTAGATTATCTAAGAAGATTTTAAGGCATACCAGATATGCTTGAGTTGGATCACCTCACAGTTTCAGGGGGTGTGACACTGGGCAAGAATCTGTCATTAAAGGGAAAGGTGATCATCATTGCAAGCCATGGTGGCAGAATTGGCATCCCACCCGGCCCAGTATTAGAGGACAAGATTGTATCTGGAAACCTTTGCATCTTGGACCACTGAAATAAAAAATACTGTGGATACTTGGCACTAATTATTATACTTTATACTATTATTAATTGTAATTTTTACAATGAAGTGTTCTCCAGGATTCTAAAATGGCAGGTACTTTACTATGTTGCAGATCTTCACCGTACCCTGCTCGCAAAATAAGTTCCAGGTAAGCCAAAGGTCCAAATATGAAAAGCAAAACTTTAGATATTTAAAAGAAAATATTAGTGACATTTTTATATCCAGGGCTGGGAAAGATTTCTTCAAAAAGGTATAAAAAATACAAGCTATCAAGGAAAATACTAATTAATCTGACCATTAAAACCAACAAATATTTGTGCATTAAAACAGTAAAATAAATTTGAAAAGCAAACCACTTTTAATACTTCTAGATTAAATCTTTTTGTTGTTGTTGTTTTTGTAGAGAGAAAATCTTGTTATGTTACCCAGGGTGGTTAACAGTAAAATAAATTACCCAGGGTGGTTAAAGCAGTAAAATAAATTTGAAAAGCAAACCATTATTTAATACTTCTAGATTAAATCTTTTTGTTGTTGTTTTTGTAGAGACAAAATCTTGTTATGTTACCCAGGGTGGTCTTGAACTCCTGGCTTCAAGGGATCCTCCCACCTTGGCCTCCCAGATTTCTGGAATTACAGGCATGAGCCACTGTACTAGGCCTAAATTATGGCTTTTAAAAACTCATATGTGTATACAAGAAGATATGAAAAAAGATGAGCATTTCAGTGCCGTTTATAATAGTAAGAAATGGGAAAACCTAATCCCCATCTATAGAGGAACAGCCAAATAAAACGCACGATAATCATACAATGAAATACTGTAGAGACATTGAAAAGAGTAACTCTTTCAATAAATGATGATGATGGATCTCAAAAACCGAAGAACAACATGAAAAAGATAGATGTATCCTATTCAATCATGTCACCTTTTTAAAAAAACATACCTATAATATAATATCTTGCTTATAGATCTATAGATATATATTTAAAAAAAGACTAAAATCATGCACAACACCTCCGTAATGGTAGTTGCTGGGGTCAGGGGTGAGAGAAATGAGATGGAGGCAATGGTTAAGGGTGACTTTTGCTGTGCTTTATCTCTAAGGATTTATTTCTTTAAAAAAAAAAAAAGCATAGAGAAAATCCTGAGAGAATCCCGAAATCAAATATAACAGATGTTAAAGGTTGTTTGTTCTGAAATATGAGTGAAAATATAAGTGTCTGTTGAATTTTGTACACACACACATGACATAGCCTGTATCAGCATCCACCAAACAGTTACAGGACAAGCTACTAGGATATATTTAAGCAGTAGATAAATCACACATGAATGTATCATCTCAATTTATTATTTCCCTGGCCATTCGGGACACAGGACTCTGATTTCACCCTCTCGGCACCTGTCTCACGGGATTTCGAGGAACCCCGGGTGCAGGAACCGGGCGTGGAAGAGGAGGAGCAGCTGGCTGGGGCTGAGCAGCGGAGTGAGGCCTGACGGTTGAGAATGTGCCCAGTGCAAGTTCAGTTACTGTAGCAGTTGTGGGGCAGCTGCCCGCTTAAAGGAACCACAAAATGAAACAAAGTTACTCACCAGTCTCAGGCTGGGGAGACCTCTTTTCACTAGAATACTGATATTTTAGGGTTAATATCCCGAAGGTCACTGCACAGCACAGACAGCACCAGCACCAGACCATGGTCCCCGGTCTCCCCCTGGACTGAGGGGCGAGCCCTCCCAGCATGCCCCTGACAGCTGGCAGTTGGGGGCTGGGCCCCGCCCTCCCCGGCGGCCGGCGTGCTCACGAATTCCACAGGGCCTCAGACACGCTGGGCTGCCGTTGCCCTCTGAGGGATCTCCACCCTGTCAGCTCAGCCTAGAAGGATAACAGAGACCTCCGCACTTACAAGTGAACTCATCTCTTTTCCAAGTGGTGAAAAAAAGCATGCTATGTACCTTACCAAGGAGTAAACACACCATAGGACAGCATCTCGCTTGATGCATATGTTAATGAGCTTAATGTAGCCATTGTACAAGGAATACATATTGCAAAACATCATGTTAGACATCATGAATATGTACGTTTTTTTGTCAATTGTTAAAAAGATGGAGAAAATATGATCAGCTTTGTTATTAAAAAAGAGAGACAGTAGCACCTCACTTGAAACAACATGAAATCAATGTAAATTTGATCATTGACAATGTTTGCCAATACTGTTGTATTCTAAGTCATTGGTTCATAAACTTTACGGTCTCAGGAAATTTCCATATTCTTAAAAAAGTATTGGAGGACTCCAAGAGCTTTTGCTTATGGGAGTTATTTCTACAGATATGTAAACAATATTTGAAATTACAACTGAGGAGAAAATTTTTGAATATTTGTTAATGTATTTTAAATTAATAAAGCCATTACATATTAAAATAAATAATGTTTTTATAAAAATTAAGTATGCTTTCCAAAATAAAACATAATACAGTGAGAAGAATGACATTGTTCTACATTTTTACCTATCTTTTAAACACCTGATTTAGTAGAAAACAATTGGAAGGAATATGAAACCTATCAATGAATTTCTTATACCCTGTTACCTGAAAATCTGTGGGCCTATTTTGCATTTTTTAGCAATTTTGTAACCCATGAGCAATTTTGTAACATAAATCATTGGTGATCGGGAAAATATTGATACATTGAATTTTCTAAATCATGCTTGTTAATACTGCCATTGATCTTAACAGAAAAGTCTTTTAAGTATTGGCAAACTGCTCAATTTCTGGAGATGGACACAAATTTTCCAAAATTGTCATTTTTATTTGAAAGCTCAGATTTTATCATCAGCAACAACACTGTGGCTTATTTTTCTTGGAGTGGCATGCTCACTTATTTCAGTTGTGAGAATATGTCTGCCAGATATCCAAGCCTGAAAAAGCCCCGTTTATCAATCACTCTTTCAAATAAAAATAACGTTCCTGAAAAATGTGGTTCAGCTGAGAGATCCAACATCTCACAAATGTCTTTCCTCTATTGAGAAAGACAGTTACCTTTCTCAAAGCAACCAGAAGTCCTTTATGCACAATGCCCACTTTATCACACAGAATGGTAAAAAGGCAGATATGCAAGGTCAAGACTTCTTAAAATTAACAATGTTTACTGCTTCACCGCTGACTGCTTCATCATCGCCTGGATTTGGGATAAGCCTCCAGTTTTACCCCCATTGCTTTTACACCAAATGTCAACTCCACGAAAAAGGGAAATAACATCTTAATATTACTGTGAAAATACTCCCTGCAGATACCCAGATACCCTGGTCTAAGGAAATAAAATGCGAATGTTGACTTTTTAAAAAGCCATTTGCAAGCACCCTTGCACCTTTGCACCCTTGCAAGCACACTGCTCTCTTATTTACATGTGCTGCTCAGGCACCCAATCCCCCTGTAGATCTCAATTATGGGACCTGATAGGGTATTCTTCCAAAAATGCAACTATATGCCACATAAAATGTTATTTTCTTCCCTGGAACAAAAAGAAAACCTAACAAACAGTAAAAAAAAAATGACAAGCAGAGCAAGCACGGGGGAGCAGCAAGCATGTTCCTTCCCACTGGCTGTCACCCAGCCTCTAGTGCCGACAGCCTTGCTACAGACACTATGCACAAAATGTGTCCCTAACGTCCAGGCGGGACCCCCATGGGCTTAGGGATTAGGGCCACCTTCAGCTTCCCTTCCACAAAGAGGATGCTCAGACCAGGTTTATTCCTGTCTGGGGAGCCCCCAAGTGAGTCAGGTCGGTCACAAACATCCTCTGCTCTTGCTGGGTTTGGGGGGCTCCAGGACTACCTTGTGTTTTATGGAAGGACTAGAGAGGGAGAAGCCACAGCAGACCACAGGGGCAGCTGTGAGCTTCCGTCTAATCGACACGTATTTGTTGAGCGCCTGTGTCGGCCGCTGTTTTAGGCACTGTCACAGAGTGATACCTATGGCAACTCAGGTGGAGGTTCCTCCCCAGGGAGGAGAGCTTCTCAGGCCTATTCCAGGAGACTAGCAGATGGTCTGGACGTGAGAAACCTGTTGTCCTCTTCCATGCCGGCATCCGGCTCCAATCGCGTGGCTGGATAGTGCACCTTGTGTAAGTAACACGAAAACATAAAGGAACGAGTGCTGATCTTTTAGAGTCCTCCAGGTCACTATTTCTAGAGTACTGCCCACTAAAGGACCTAACATTTTGAAATAATTGAAAAGCATCCAACAGTTCATTAAGGAAGATGTCACAATATGTAGGTAAAAGTTCATAGCTATACTCACCAAGCTGTTCAGATAACAGATTTCCTAAAATGCAAAAAAGAAAAAAAAAACTTCACATTTTAGCTAATATGTCAGCTGATGCAAATCCAAGAGATTACCAGAAATAGTCAAAACCACTGACTATATAAAAGTAAGAACACGGATGCTTCCTGATGCCTAGCAAGGTCATATGACTGAAGCAACTAAAGGAAAAGAATTAGCAAGTTGTCCGCAGATGCTGAGGGTCGTCCTGTTCTCCCGGGCTTCTGGGGTGGCCGGGGGTACCGAGCCGCTGTCCCGGTTCCCCGCCAGGCTGGGGTGGCCGGCATCAGCTCCAGGGTGGAACAGGGACCTCCCGGGGTGGAGCAGGGACCTCCCTGGGTGGAGCAGGGACCTCCCAGGGTGGAGCAGGAACCTCCCTGCACGCCACACAGCGCAGCTGGGGCACAGTTATCTCGGAGAGCGGGCCTTGCTGAAGGCTTAGGACTCGAAAAGGGAAATTGGAGCGGAACAGGGAACACATTGAAACTCAGCCTCAGACATTGCTGCTCCAATGCTGCTTCGGCCCCGCGCCCACCTGGCAGCATCTCCCCGTGGCTTCCACCTGCAGAGCCCTTCTCTCCCTGAGAGGAGCGTCCTTGGCTCTTATCTTCCACCCCCACGTCACGGGCCCTGCCTCCTCTCTGCGCCCGCCAAGGAGAGCCCAGTCAAACCAGCGAAAGGCAGTGAGTGTAATTCAGCACGTGCGTCCCTGCCCAGGGCGGGAACGGTCACAGCCGCCAGCTGTCCCTTCCACCTCTGGCCTGTTCTCCACATACCGTCTGAGTTGTCTTCCTGGATTCTGTAGAAATGAACACAGACTGACCCAGTGAGAGGAAGCAAGGCCATTTACTCAGATCTGGCTCTAGCAAGGGAGTCGGCAGCTGTCGCTTGCATTTGGCAGAGACGCAAGGGCAGGCAGAGGGGCGGGAAAGGCTCCCAGTGGGGCAAAGGGACAGCTTCAGGTGTGCCTGCGTGGAGGCTGCTGGCGGGAGCTGAGGCAGCTAACGGGGGAGAGGCGTCCTCTGGGAGCGGTCAGGGGCCTGCGTATCTGGCATTCTCTGCTTGGTCCCAAGTTGGAAGCAGGAACAAAAACTAGGGAAGCTGCCAGTCCCTAATCAAGTCCTGGGCCGTTTGGGGCCAGAGGTTACAGGAGCCGCTGCAGATAACGGTTGGTTTCCCGGGCACGGTGCTTCCTGGGCAGATTGCAAGTCGGAGACCTGTTTCCACACATGGGCTGGCCGTTGTCCATTTGTATATTCAGTCTCTCAGTTCAAAACTTCCCTCTGGCTCCCCGTGGCCCAGAGGGTCAAGGACAGAGTCTTTAGTACTAGAGTATAGGTGACCGTGCACCAACCGAACCCTTGGTCTGGTCCCCTGATGCTCCATTCTTTCACGTGAGGGTCCAGACACTCGAGTCCTTCACACCCGACTCCTCTGTGTGAACAGACAGCATGTCTAATGCTGTCCTCGCTTGGAAAACTCCGCCATGGGGGTCACCTCTCTGCAGCCTTCCCTGACCCTCTCTCCTCTGTGCCCTGTCCACACTGCACCCACACCTACCTAGTGTCACCAGGTGCAGAGGGACTGCTCAGTACACACGTGTGATCACTGTGCCAGACCTTGACTTCCCCATTGGCAGGAATTGTGTCCCATGATTTGTTTCTGAGTCCAGCAATAAGTTTTTTGTCGAACGAACAAACAAACGCATGCACTGGTGTCTAGAGGTGCCTTCATAGCTGGTGAGAGGGAGAAATCAAATAAACGGTGACTTGCTGTGTGAAGCTGTCTGCTACAAACGCATGGAAGAATGCCACAGGTCTTTTACCAAGAAAAAGGGATTCACCCAAAGGTAAGGCAGGCAAACTGCACAGCTGTGCAAACATGCTTTTTATTTCTCCCAGCAGTCACAAAGAGGAATCTTCCTGCCACCATCTACAATGTTCTTTTAAAAAAAAAAATATGGAACACTTTACGAATTTTCGTGTCATCCTTGCACAGGGGCCATGCTACTTTTCTCTGTATCATTCCAGTTTTAGTGTATGTGCTGCCGAAGCGAGCACCACGATGTTCTTTAAGTTTGAGAATTAGACTACCAGTGAGAAGAGCGGTGTCAATGGTCCAAGCTGGGAAACAGCTTACTTCCGCTTCACTGGTATCTCCCCAAACGTGGGAGGTTTGTTTCCCTACACAAATCTGGAAAGCGAATGTTTCATGGATTCGTTGTGAACAGGAAATCAGAGCTTCTTGGAACAATGAGCTAGCTGCCCCTAACCCTAAACTGTTTAAGTGGAACCCCACTTGCAGCACACATGTTAACGGGACAAAGTGTAACACAAGTCCAGGGTGCAGCAGGGAACCTCTCGGACTCCCTGGGGCAGGGGGGACAAAGCTGCTCCTCACTCTTCCTTACACGCTCCTCACACCACACCCAGCCGCCCTGCAGGGCGCCGCTC